CTGTTATAAAGATGATAGAGATCGGACTTTTTCTTCTGGTACCTCCCCCACAAGGGGTCAAAATTTTGAATGGCCAATGGAAATATTGAGATGTACCAAGTCTGAATTTCATGTTATATGACCTACATGGATATTCAAAATTTTTAGATATTTCAAAATTTAGGTGTAGACCGATATATTCCATCTTCACCCAGACTTTGGGTTAATAAAAATATTGTGATGTGTGTAATTTGAAGACAATCGGACTCTTACATCAGAGAACAAAAGGTCTTTTCATTGAAGACCAAAAGTTCTCATAGAAGATCACAAAGGTCTTCTCACAAAAAGCAAAAGGTCTCCTCATATTAGACCAAAAGGTCTTCTCATAAAAGACCAAAAGGTCTTCTCATAGAAGATCAAAAGTCCAAGAGGCCAAAAGGTCCACTCATAGAAGACCAAAAGGTATTTTCGTAGAAGACCAAAAGGTCTTCTGGTAGAAGACCAAATGGTCTTCTCATAGATAAACCCAAACTCTTCTCATTCCAAAGACAACGAATTCATCTCACAGACCACCGAATGGTCTTTTCATAGAATAACACAAATGTCGTTTCGCAGAGGACTACAAACAAAGGTCGTTTCAAAGAAGCCAAAATTGTTTTTTCAAAGAAGACCTAAACGTCTCGTAAAGTAGAGGCAATATGACCATGAGGTTTTCTAAGGTCTTCACATAGACGACCACAAGATTTGTTTATAGGACTATGCAAAAATTTCTCATAGGTCTCATAGAAGGCCAAAAGTTCTTCTCATAGAATATCACAAAGGTCTTCTCATAGAAGACCAAAAGGTCTGCTCGTGGAAGGCCAAAAGGTCTTCTGGTAGAAGGCCAAAAGTTCTTCTCGTAGAAGACCATAAGGTTTTCTCATTCCAAAGACAAAGAATTTATCTCACAGACCCCCGAAAGGTCTTTCCATCGTTTGGCAGAACACTACAAATATCGTTTCACAGAATAGCACAATTTTTTTTCAAAGAAGACCTAAAAGTCTTTTAAAGTAGAGGCAATACGACCTTGAGGTCGTCTATGGTCTTCTCATAGAAGACCCCAAGATTTGTTTATAGGACAACACGAACATTTTTCATAGGTCTCATAGAAGGTCAGAAGTTCTTCTCATACTAGACCAAAAGGCCTTCTCATAGAAGAATACAAAGGTCTTCTGATAAAAAGACCACAAGTTCTTTTCATAGAACAGAACTTATAATCCTCACAAACTAGTCGCTAGTCAATCACCATTCTCAGAAAAAGTGTGATATACTCACAGAGAAGATAATTCTTGTGGGGTTTCGGTTAATCGAAAAAAAAAATTATCGGCAAAAAATATACCCTCCCAACGTCACAATATTTTACGAAAGCTGAAAAAAACACACCTATTAATTTACTACATCGCTGCGTGTGTCCATTTGTTTGAAATTGCTTATTTCGGCAATGTGTAGCAGCAGTATTGCAATCTAGACAAGACGAAAAAACTGCAAATATTTCTAATCATGGTGCTACTTGGGTATTATTTCCTATTGTTTTTTTCGTTGATTGTTGAACTGCAAATCTTGATTACCGTGTGGTGTGCACCTTGGAAAAAAAACTTAAGAGACAAATTGACAAAATCAATATGTTGTTATTTGAAAAAATGTCGTCAAGGTCAGGCATATGGAAATTTGTGACTATGCGTGTGTTTGTGTTTAGGCATATTCATAGTTTTTTTGTTTGGCACTTTGAATTAAGGTGGAATTTAGTCAAAAATAGTGAAATTTGATGAATAACACATTCAAAAATAAAAAATACAAATCAATTTCACGATGTGTTCCTAAAATTAACAATACAATTTTAAATATCCATTATTCCATATATTGTATGTTCAAAACAATTCGTTTATTCGGTTAGTTTTTTAAAAACCAAATCGAACACAGTCTCTAATGCTGTGTAGGTATAAACTGCAATTACAAAACACTTTTGATAAAACAACGAAACGTCATCAACATCTGCCTGTTATTCTTTGAAATGATATGAAATGAAAAAAGTTATTCTCTCAATAATGCAAATTATCAACTCGACACCAGACTGTGAATTGTTATGAATTGCCTTTTTTCAAGTTCACTTGTACCCGAGCTGGTCATAATTAACATGAGCGTGGCAAACAAAGAAATTTCAGATACGGACATTGGGCATATATTGGAATTACAGCGTAATTAATAAACACGATGAGGTGAATACCACCAACATACGAGTTGTCATTCAAAAGCCAATCGTAAAGTTGTCAATTGAAGCGATATTTCTCAACTTTGGTTATAAAAAATGGCAACCAGGAAAGAATTTTTTAAATTCGAGGGAGTGGGTGCATAATACTCCAAGTTATTGTTATTAGGTAAATATTGAAATGTGTTGTCGATTTATATGAACTCGCAGGTAAAAATCTATACAATCGCAATGAAAAGAGATTTAAGATTAGCGCAAAAGTCGAAGTCATCGTTGTGGTTATAGTTCTTCATTTACATAAAGTTGGGAAAATATGCATGTATAACTAAGCCGAACATATTTCAAACTAGCAAGTCCCGGGACCACTAGTCTGCAAAGTCATAGCACGTTATTTGATTTATCAACATTTTGTTATCCTCTAATTTTGTTCTCCTCTCAGGCTCTGGATATGTAGATATGTAGAAGGTATGTTTTTTTCTTGCGAACCGACCCGTTATGCAAATGTTTGACCGAACGTCCAGTTTTAAGACCCCGATCTACTGAACCGATATTGACAGTATGAAAGTACCTATCCAACAAGTGGTCACATGGTTCATTAAAATGGTTCGGAAGTTATCGATTTTTTGGTCCGTTTTTTTTTATAAAACACCCCAAAAGTCGCAAAATGATGGGGCATTGGTATGTCAACTTGCTTTCTTTTCAGCATAATCGTTGTTACCTTGGAAGTCATTCACACTCATAATCAGATAACCCAGTTCCACCCACATCAGCTGGAGAAAATCGGCTACCTTGGCAAAGCAAGGAAGCTCTAATCCAATTAGGTTTAGAATTCTTCTGCTATCGTCGTTTATCCGAAAACAGTTTCCCTTTTCCCCTCCTCATGACGCATTCCTGCCTCTGAAGACTTCACGGCAATTCGAAACTACGTTTAAGTTTCTGGGAGCGTACCTGATTCGTACAGAGAAAAAGTTTTACCCGGCTTCAAAATATCTAAATATTTGCATCAGTGCTAGGTCAGGTGCAAAAGTGGACAATATCGGCCTACTCCATCCAGTACCTCCCCCATAAAGGGCCAACATTTTGAATAATTATGACTCTTATAAAATGTGATATAAAAGTCCGATTGTCTCCCAAGGTCTGGTCCAGTCCACTCCTTCCACTCAACATAGGGTTCAAGATTTTTGAAAAACAGAACACTCAAAGCATGTAACTCTCTTCAAACTATACACATCCAAATATTTTTGCTAAGGCAAGATCTGTTGTGAAGATGATATACCCTGGACCCCATTCTGGTACCCTCAAAGGGTCACAATGTCCAATACTTATATCCGTCATAACCTGCGAAACAAGCCAGCGATTCTTTACAACTTGCTATATCTGAATATTTCTCTTAACCAGAAATCTGATATGAATATGTAATTTATCGAAATGTATGATTTCGTTGAAAATTGGATATAAATGTTAGATTTTCTTCAAATTTTGCACATACCAATATTTTCATCTGAAGTATGAAAACGGAATACTTCGTTCCGCTATGTCTGTTACCTCATTCATATTTCCGCATTTTTCCAAAAATGATCATAAATCTCATATAAAGTATAGGAAATGGTTGTTATATTCCAAATTTGGCACATTGCAATATTTTTATCATTCTTAGGTCAGATACGAATTGGACAATATTGGCCAACTGCTTCGAAATCTCCCCCATAAAGGGTCAAGAGTTTGAATAATCATAACTTCAGGATGGGTGTATACATCTGCCGGCAAAACCGGCTGATACTATTTTACTTGTTCTATGCCTATTTTAGATTTTTCTTTAGAAGCAACTTTCGATTCCAGCCAAATCTTTGCAACAAAAAAAAAAATAACCAAAAATGTTTGCTACACAAATTTTCTCAGGATACAAACCTAATAGCAGCAATATTCTCACAATTCGAATTCGAATCAATTTTATCAATCTATTTCTCCACCTCATTATTGGCTTTGACGGAAGACCCAAACTTTAAATTTTGAAGTTTTTCTTTTTCATTTAAAAACTACGACTTGATGGCAATACGTTATCAGTACATGCAATATATGTACATTCGCATTTGTGTAGGTATATGACTCATGTCTTAAGTAAACTACAAAAGGAGTTGATTTGCCGCAATGCCTGCCTATTGGCGACAACCTAAAGCCGGTGGCGGCAGCAGCATCAGCATAACTACAAACGCAATTGATTTACGACCAAACTGTGCATACACAAGAAAAACACAGAAGATAGTGAAAGTGTTTAGGAATGGAACGCAGCCACGAAAACAACAAGGAAAAACAAATAGGAAAATACTTGTGTATCAACCTATCACAAATACGCAACAGAACCAATCATCCCCTTGCAACATTCACATGACCATGTTCGTTTAACTGTGCTGGCTGATAAGAGTGTTTTCTTTTCACACCAACATCAATGCGTAAGCCTGAAAGGATATGTTGATGTTAATTTACGATTCATACAGGCATAAAAAACGACAGCAACGGCAAAAAGAGAATTCCTAATGAATCCCACCATCCCGAAACGAGAATTAAAAGGTGTGTTCTCAGTTGTAGAGAACGCATGCCGCTGCTATACACACAGCAATAGTAGTTTACCCATCACCCAATCAACAGCCCAACCGCCCATCGCACACAGCACCCGACCATCATCAGTGTATTTGAAATCAGGACTAGACAAAGACAAGAGCAATAACTAGACCATTAACAACAACAGCAACAGCAGAAATACGAAATATCTACTTACCTTGAACACATAAAACTATTTGTGAATCCAGCAAATGATAAGGACTAAATTGAAGCGAGAATGGCAGAAAGTGTTGAAAAGGATAACAATCACATGTTACAGTTGTCTCCCTCCCATCAGAGCATCGTTGCCGACGTCGTGGGATGCTTCTGCTGCGGCGGCTGCTGCCTGCTACTAGTGGCCAAGTATCCCACAAACAGATATGGATGGTACTTTATGGCATACAAAATTTCAAGGATTTTTTCTTTTACTTGTATCTTCGTTTAGCTATATATCTCACTTGTCATTCCATCCTTTTGCTATATTCGTTTCTTTTTGTAATATACCTATATTTTGATTTTTTTTAATTTTTGTTATTGCACATACACGATCCTCTACCAATCCAATTGGTGGTTTTTCTTCTCTCAAGGCTTGACACTAAATAAACACAACACAAAATAAGCACAGTTGTTGTTGGTATTTTCTCTACGGAAGATGGATACCGACACCCGCATCAACAGAGATTTTTTGTCTGAGACGAGAATGTGATGCTGCTTCTGCTATTCATTTCATCTTTCACATCTCATTCGTCTTATCTTTTATGTATTTTTTCGGTTTGGCTATGCACAGAATTGAAAATTTGCACTATCCTGGCCAATACGAATTCTATTTAATTTCTCAGATATGAATATTTTCATTAGTTTTATCTATTTTTGCAAATTTTGTTTGGGCGTATTTTGTATTTATATACAGATGTATTTTAAAACAAATCGGTTTCTGTTTAATTCGCGCACATCCCAAACAAATAGAGCGCGTTCGTTTGAACCGACTTACTTCTCACGCTCACCAAAAAAAATTGCAAACTGACAGATTTGATGTATATGACAATCAGTGTTGTATGCAATGGTATTAATTTTGATTCAGCTACAAAAGGGTAGTTCACATACAATTGTTCAACTTGAAATTTTGCAAAAATTAACCTAAATGATATCGTATGGCGTAAGAATCGTGCTACCATGGCTCAACGTTGTCGTTGATACACATTTTTCCGGGTAACCCATGATACAACGAAGACAAGGTAGGATAACTTTTGGAAATTACAAGTATAGAGGTCTGCCTGTTTGCCTTGTAATGTCAAAATTACTATCAAAACTATCGAAAAACCAAACAACATGTTGCATTGATTTTAAATAAATAATTGAAAACGCGAAAACTGAATGAAAGGAATACATTTATTTTCAAAATCATGTTCTCATCTCATTGGCAAAATTTATATTTACAAATCCATTGTATACACACAAATCAGAGATGGGAACCTGTTTTTATGCAGTGTAATTAGACAACGTAAATTACAGACAATGCAGTGATGGAAATGCTTATTTGAAAGACTTTACCTTCTTAGTTTTGCTATGATGCATACGTTCAATAAGCATTTTGAAAACATCCGAATTTGAATATTTTCTGAACAATTTTTTTTTTATTGAAAGGAATACAAAAACATAAACAAATAAAGTTGACATTTAAAGCCAAGAAAATAAAAAATAAAATTATATGGCAACATTTTATTGAACCATGGAGTAACAAATTTGAATAATTTTTCACTTAAAATTTTCTATTCCAAAATTGGTTTGACAGTTCATTGTGCAAGCTGCTGTGTCGCTGCGACTTCCTGTATTCTTCTACCATGCAACCAACCATAACACGTTCACTTTTGAAATATATATTAAATTTTATTATGATTCAAAAAATATATCGGTTCGTTTACTTTTGTACCGACCATGGTACAATTAAATCAAGTAACCTTATTTCAAAAAAAAAAAAATAAATAATAATATCCGGGTCTGAATTCTTGTTCTATGATAATATGAAATGAAAAAGATTTTCTTAATAATGTTCTTCATATGACATATCCTTCCTTTCATGGTAGAAGAATATAGGCAGACGCATCGACACAGCTGTTGGGACAATGAACTGTCAAACCCATTGTAAAATTGAAAATGTTGAATTAATTTTTTTTTTAATTTGTAAAAATTGTTGAAAACGCGAATTATAATAACCTCTGAATGACGTCGTATAAGAAAACGTATAAATATCTACTTATATTTGGAAGAACATTTAAAACGTTTTGACATATCAATATTCCGAAGCGTTGGTGAATCTACCTGTATTCTTTACCATACTTCCTTTGTAACATTTTTCTTTTTACAATTTCATAGAACATTTTTCCGTGTCAATCTTAATTTCATTGAGAACTTTTTTCCGCAAATGATTTGTGTATATACAATGGATTTATAAATAAACATTTTGAAAATGAGATGTTTTGTCAAAAGTATAATTTTGAAAAAGAAATGTAGTCCTATAATTGCTTTTTAAAACGAAACTTGTCAATATGAAAAACATATATTAATTATTATATTATTTTGTGTGCAAGCGTGCTGTCATAAAACGCTGTACGCTCGAACACACATTTTTACAAATGCAACTCTGGCTACCTATGACAATATGGCAGCTTCACTCATTGTTTTTGTTTTTCGCGCCAAAAACGCGTCGTTTGGTGGTAGAAGCAGATGTAGCATTTTTGGGTGAAATAAACATTATTTATTAATCAAACGCTAGCAGTGCAGCAGAAAACAACAGCCTAGTTTAAAACAAGGAAGTGAAGAAGCCAATTTTCAATTTAAACAATCCTTAAGAAAGTGAGCATATTGCAGTAATAATAAAACCATGGCCAGACGCGACTATGCCCAGGACAAAGGTAATGAAGTAAAGGCAAATAATATGGTGCAGCATTATTTTATCTATCACTTTTTACTTACAGAGGCCATCAAGGCTTTCCTCGGTGAATTTTGCAAACAAGACGACGACGGCAAGAAACATTTTGTGTATGCCCAACAATTGGTGAAAATAGCTCATCGTGAACAAGTTTTATTGACCATAGACTTGGATCATCTGGCGGAATTTAATGAAGGCCTGGCTGAGGCTGTTGTTAGCAATAGCAGACGCTATGCTGCCCTTTTCAGCGATGTTATTGCGGAAATGCTACCAAACTTTAAAGAGCGGGAAGTACATGCCAAGGATGCGTTGGATGTGTACATCGAGCATCGTCTGCTAATGGAATCACGCAGTCGCAATCAAATGGAACAACATGACCAACGCAATCATTTCCCTCCCGAATTGATGAAGAGATTGTGAGTTTTGGTAGCTAGGCTATAATTTGATCATTTTTTAATATCAAATATTGCAAAATTTTAGTGAAGTTGGTTTCAAGCCCCAGTCAAATGTCAAGGCCCATTCGATTCGCGAAATAAAGGCAGAACATATTGGCAAATTGGTAACAGTTCGGGGTATTGTTACTCGATGTACAGAAGTTAAGCCCATGATGGTTGTTGCCACTTATACGTGTGATCGCTGTGGCTCAGAAACATATCAGCCCGTCAACTCCTTGTCGTTTACACCTATTAGCGACTGCCCCTCGGATGATTGTCGTGTTAACAAAGCAGGAGGTCGCCTTTACTTACAAACGCGTGGTTCGAAATTTGTAAAATTCCAGGAAATAAAAATTCAGGAGCACAGCGATCAAGTCCCAGTGGGTCATATACCCCGAACAATGACAATAATGTGCCGTGGAGAAGTTACACGTATGGCACAACCCGGTGATCATGTTTTAATTTCTGGTACCTTCTTACCACTGCTGCGTACTGGTTTCCAACAAGTTATACAGGGTCTTTTGTCTGAAACATTCCTTCAGGCATATGTAAGTATATTAGTCTTTTTATTCCATGAACTTGTACACTTCCTTATTCTATGCAAATACTGATGGATCTGTTCTATTCTGTTTTGCCATTTGTCTTTTAGCGCATCGTATGTATTAACAAGAACGACGAAATATCTGACAAAGATTCTGAATTAACTCCAGAAGAATTGAATGAATTGGCCCAGGATGATTTCTATGAACGCCTGGCTACAAGTTTGGCGCCTGAAATCTATGGTCACTTGGATGTTAAGAAGGCCCTATTGCTACTCTTAGTAGGTGGCGTAGATAAACGACCAGATGGTATGAAGATCAGGGGTAACATAAATATCTGTTTGATGGGTGATCCTGGTGTCGCCAAATCTCAGCTGTTGGGTTATATAAGTCGTTTAGCCATTCGTTCTCAATATACTACTGGCAGAGGTTCATCTGGCGTTGGTTTGACCGCTGCTGTTATGAAAGATCCTCTAACCGGTGAAATGACTTTGGAAGGCGGAGCACTGGTTTTGGCTGATCAAGGTGTTTGTTGTATTGATGAATTTGATAAAATGGCTGAAGCAGACCGTACAGCTATTCACGAAGTGATGGAACAACAAACAATATCAATTGCTAAAGCTGGTATTATGACAACACTTAATGCCAGAGTTTCAATTTTGGCTGCAGCCAATCCTGCATTTGGTCGTTATAATCCCCGACGTACAGTTGAACAGAACATTCAACTTCCAGCGGCTTTGCTGTCTCGTTTTGACCTGTTATGGCTTATACAAGATAAACCAGATCGTGATAACGATTTACGTTTGGCCAAACATATAACTTACGTGCACAGTCATTCAAAACAACCTCCTACACGAGTTAAGGCCCTGGACATGAATCTAATGCGTCGTTATATCAATCTGTGTAAGCGTAAAAATCCCACCATCCCCGATGAATTGACTGATTACATTGTGGGAGCTTATGTTGAGCTAAGGCGAGAAGCTCGTACTCAAAAAGACATGACCTTCACTTCAGCACGTAATCTTTTGGGTATATTACGTTTATCGACAGCATTGGCACGTTTGCGTTTGTCCGACAAAGTGGAGAAGGACGATGTTGCAGAAGCCCTACGCTTGTTGGAGATGTCGAAAGATTCGCTTAATCAAATACATGAACATCAAAAGGGACAGTAAGTTAAAACACTCATTTTCCAAAAATTATTTTGATTAAACTTTTTGTTTTCTTTTCTAGTGTGCCCAACACCTCGGATAAGATATTCGCTGTTGTTCGTGAATTGGCTGGTAGCAATAATACTGTTAAAATCGCCGATGTTATGGATCGTTGCACAACCAAAGGTTTTAAGCCCGATCAGGTGGATAAATGTATTGAAGACTATGAAGAACTTAACGTTTGGCAGGTCAATATGGCTCGTACTAAGATCACTTTTATGTAAATGCCAAATTGGTTTTTAATCTACTTGGAGTGTGGTTCTACTCACTCTAATATTTAAATTGTTCCCTTACGTTTATCTAGAATTAAGTGATTGTTTTTCAAGCGTACATTTCTTTTAATAAAACCATACGATTTTGATAACCATAATTGATTTTAAAAAATTAACATTATCAAGTATAAAATAAAATCGGCATTTAAAACTTTTCTCCCATGGGTTTGATGGTTATGTTATGGACCTAAAAAAGTTAATAAATCAATATCACCGGTAAGCTGAACATGTCTTTGGTAAGTACCTGTACATTTGGTGGTGTTTCCAAAGCCCATAATATGGCATCAGCAACTTCTTCGGACTTTAACATAGGCATAAACTGTTTAACCACAGTTTGAATTTCGGAAGGCAATATATCCGTATTAACTATGCCAGGGCTAATGGTCTAAAAGTAATGTTGAATTAAATTATTTGTTGGACTCTTGTTTGAAATTATACACTCACTGTTATCCGTACTTGAGTTTTGAGCCTCTGAAACTCTTGGCGATAAATTTCATTCATAGCCCTCAAAGCAAATTTCGTTGCCGGATAAACATTCAATGAGGGCAAATCCGGTCCTAAGTTGGGTACCTATCAGTTTTTGTTTTCACATTTAGTTACGGCTTTTGTATGGTGTCTTCAAAAATTACCTGCATGCCAGCAACACTATTCACAATTATAATGTGTCCTCGGCCTTGTTTTTGGGTCCTCATGGAATGAAAAGCTTCCCTGGTACAAAATACTGTCCCCATTAAATTAGTGTCGATGGTATCGCGTATTTGTTTGGTATTATTGCGATCCGATAAAAGAGCAGTGGCTATAATTCCGGCATTGTTAACGAGGACATCACAACCGCCCAATTCATTTTGTACCCATTCAAATGCATTGGCTACATCTTCTTCTTTCGTTACATCACAGCGCCGAGCATGTAAATTTTTCTGTATGGCCAAAGGAAGCTCATCCTTAAGTTTTTCTATGCGTTCTTGCCTGCGAGCTAAACCAACAACCAGCATTCCCGCCGAAGCTAAAGCTTTACAGCAGGCTGCACCAATTCCAGCACTAGCACCGCTGACAACAGCCACCTTGTTGCACCAACGTTCCATCGTAAAATACCATGGGTAATAAATGAAGTGAATACGCTAATGAATGATTCAAAGAAACCTTAGGAGTGTTTGCAAGTGGGGCATATAATTTCATTATTTTAGGGTAGGTTGAACCACAGTAAAAAAGTGAGATGTTAATTTGGAGTGAGAAACGGATGGGTTTTTCAGTATTAAATAGTATATCAAAAACATCATATGGTCCATATATAACGGTTTTGGAGATCGAAATCAACTGTAATTGGAATGTTTGGTTTTAATCGATGTCTCCTATTACACATAATATAGAATTTTGAATCTGTTTAATTTCTCGGATTTTTTTTTTAATTTTTCCAGATTTAGGTTTTTGTACCCTGATTCCGGGAAAGTTGTTTTTTTCCTCGGGGAATGCACCCGGATATGCGACCCGTAAGTCGGGGTCCAAAACTCGGATTAGACCCGGACGTACCTATCCAATCATCCAATATATGTGGCAAATTAAAATTGATACTATAACCTTTCCAAAATGCTACAATCCGTGTTATTATGTTTCCTGGATCCAGAGATATGGATCTTTGATTCCGGTCGAACCGATTCTGTTCGGTACATTGAAATTATGTTTTCAGTATGAAAAACTAATTCGCCGGTGTGGGACATACCCAGAGGAGAAAATCTCAAGCTCTGAGTTTTTACTAGAGTTAAGCACATGGTAGAAGAATACAGGTAGATGCATCAACGCCTAGGAACATTGATATGTGAAAAGTTTTTAAATGTTCCTTCAAAAATAAGTAGAATTGTAAATGTTTTCCTATACGACACCAATCTGGCGTTGTGACGATATGCATTTTTAAAATTTTCTACAAATTTGAATAATTTTTAATTCAAAAATTTCAATTCCTGTGTCGATGCGACTAAATGTATTCTTCTACCTTGGTTAAGTCCAAAACTCATATAAAAGCAAATTGTGCAGCATAAGTTATTGAGAATGCTACCTTATACACATGGTAGAAGAATACAGGTAGTCGCATCGACACAGCTGCTGGGACAATGAACTGTCAAACCAATTTAATGAAATGTTTAAATGAAAATATGTTAATTTGTAAAAATAGTTTAAAAATGCATATCATAAAAATTTCTGATTGGTGTCGTATGAGAAAACATACACGATTGGCGTCTTATATAAAAAATAAATGCAAATATACGTTTTTTGGAAAAAAAAATTTTTTTGACTCCCAAGCGTTGATGCATCAACCTGTATTCTTCTGCCATGAATGTTCCCAAGCGTTAATGTATCTACCTGTATTCGTTTACCATGGGAACCAATCTATATTTGTATACAAATATAAGTCATATGTTGTAAACAAACCGCACATATTCTCTCTCCCACCAATACTAATGCACATATCGTGAGCACCACCATTGTCTTAAAATAGGTGTGTCTGGTTACTTTTCCAGCAGGAATTGTCCAGCAACTTCTTTCTGAGAGTAAGGTAGTTTTATTCTCTTTTGCAAGAAAAATGTGAAAAGTAAACAGTCGGTATTAGGTGTGTCTGGTTACTTTTCCAGCAGGAATTGTCCAGCAACTTCTTTCTGAGAGAGTAAGGTAGTTTTATTCTCTTTTGCAAGGAAAATGCGAAAAGTAAACAGACGGTATTCCTGCAGAAGTTTGCAACTAATCAGCTGATTTGTCAAAACAAACCAATTTGTCCCCATAAGGAGAATTAAAACAAAGGAAGCAATACTAATTTTACAAGTTTTTTAAATAAAAATGTTGGAAATAGTCTTCTATTTTCTTATTACATATTAATATTTACTTTTTTCACATTCTTTTACGTTGTTCTCAAATTGAAACTAAACAAACAATAGAAAACATCTGATTGAATGTCGATGAATGAGAAGAAGAAGAGTTGCAACTGATTGCAAGAAGAAATTTGTCCAGCAACTCTCACTGAAAGAACTGTCAAAATTTCTCTCTCCAACCGCTCTCTTTTGCAGAACTTTCGGGTTAACAGACGACTTCCAGTAACAATTTGTAACAATTGTTACAAATTTTAGAGTAACCAGACACACCTAATGTGTTCCATTTAAGAAGCACAAGCCCACGAAATTCCGACTGGCCTACAAAGACCATTAGAAAAGTAAAGAAAATCTTTAATTAAAACTGAAAGCCAGGGTAAAATATGTTTTGCAGAATATTGGCGTGCACAAGTGCACGAAATTTATATAGATTTCCCAGAAGCCTTGTCGTGACGCAACAGCATGCGGTGACACAATTCTATCCCATTTCCTATGGCGCACGATTTTTGCACGTTAAAGTCTTCGATAAAGAATTGGAGGCGCAAAGAGAAGCTAATCGTGGGAAACGTATTGTTGACGAACCCTATAACGATACAGAATCGGCCCATGAAAAGAATAAAACAACAGAATTGAAACTAAAAAATAACCGGCAAAGTTCTGCGTCGCCAAGTCTGTCCACATTACATGAAAGTGAAAATACTGTTGACCCAGACGTCTTTGGTAACGCTCCAAAAACTCCCTTGCCGGAGTATGAAGGTATGTATGGGTGTAGTATTAACGTTAAATGTCACATTTTAAGAAATTTTATTATTGCTTAGATGACATAGCCGAAGAGGAGTATATAAGTCGTCCAACAAGGCGATCCAAAAAACTACGTACCAAGGAATATGCTGCCATGATAAAGGATCATTTAAAGAATCATCGAGTAAAGGAAGCCTTAGAAGTTCTGGAGATTCGCATGCTAAAAGAGGACCGAGTAAAGCCAGAAAACTATATTTATAATTTACTGATAAGTGGCTGTGCCAAGGCAGGTTACACCAGAAAGGCGTTTCAACTCTATACTAAAATGCGTCAACGTGGTTTAAAAGTGAAGGAGAGCACTTACACGTCCCTTTTCAATGCATGTGCTAATGCTCCGTCGCGCCTTGATGGTTTAACAACAGCAAAACGATTGCACGAGAAGCTTTTGGAAAAGGGATATGAACCAAATGTGAAAAACTATAACGCCATGTTAAAAGCATTTGGCCGTTGGGGTGATATTGAGATGGCCTACATGTTAGCTGATGAAATGGTGGACAAAAAACTTGAGATGAATGGCGAAACATACAATTTCCTATTACAAGCCTGTGCTAGTGACTCAAAAATGGGATTTCGGTAAGTCTTTTTTATTGATCTCTAATTTACCATAACTTATGTTTTATACTTTCAGGCATTGCCTTTTAACATGGCATAAAATGTTACGCCAAGGTATTAACCCAGATTATTATTCCTTTAATGCTGTATTGCGCTGTACTCGTGACTGTGGCATTGGTGAATTGGATTCCATGGAGGAAGCATTAAAGGGAATTTTGGAAGGAAGTCAACAGCGTATGCAAATATCATCTTCCAAGTCAGACACACCGGAATTAGAAAGCGGCGATTCTATTCCAAACGAGCTCAAATCGTCTTCAAACGATTTGGTTAATGAAAACAATTCCCCCAATGCTATACTAATTCAAACTCAAGCAACATCTTTGGAATTACCAAATTTATTAGCACCTCAACCACATCTGGGGAGTATGGTTTCATTGGCTGAAGTTCAAAAACCCCACGAAAGGTTTTTACTTTTGGGTGGCCTACAGGGTTTTCTCGAATTGATGAAATCCTATCACATAACACCGGACATTGAAACATTCACCACCATGCTAGAAGTAATACCGCCAACAAATACAGCCGAGAAACAACTTCTGACCTATATACGAAAAATTGGTCTCAAGGCAGATATTGACTTCTTTAACATATTGATTAAGAAAAGGGCTATGCGTTTTGATTATGAAGGTGGAAAAGAGGTCTTATCCATGATCCGAACAGCTGGTCTTTATCCTGATATTGTCACCTATGGTGTTTTGGCACTGGGTTGTACAACAGTTGAAAGCTCTAGGGAGTTATTGCAGAAAATGCAACAAAATAATATAAGGTGCGCATTAGATGGAATAACGTAGCTGTAGTTTTATTGATGTTTTTTTTTTAATTTTTCAGAATGAATATGCACATCTTAGGTGCTATGCTACGTCAAGGTTGTGCCAAAAAGGATTTTTCATATGTGTGTGATATTATGCAAATAAGTTTGGATGAGAATATCAAACCGAATGAAATATTTCTGAGGCATTTGCATAAATTCCATTTGGATTGTGCTCGGGCCATTGATGCTAGGGTGAGTACTTTTCCTTATCATCTAATTTGTAACCCTTTTCACTTCTTTACTTTTCTAACAGCATCCTTCAACCAAAACCGGTCTCTACAAAAAAGAACACAAGAAATTCTGTGATAAATATCGGCTATACCTTGAAGAGCATGGGTTATCCAATTTAAAAATTGATGATCAAATAAAGAAAATAAGAGAACGTCCCTACGAACACTACAAGGAGGATCCAGTCGATGGCATGGAACCTCTGAAAAACGAAAAATTAGCAAGCAAACAAAAGCTTCGAAAATATATAAAGAAAATAAAACTGCAGCACCTTAAAGGAGATGAAGATGGTACCCCTTCACTAGAGAATATGCAAGTCAAAACAATTGATAGTCCCAAAGTCACAAATGCAAATAATCCTTTTAGAGTAACATAGTTAATAAAGACGTTATTTATTGTAAACTGAAGAAAAAACTTGTTTATATGTAGACCTTAACCAATCATTGTTCTCTTACGTCCTCGGGCACGAACTTCTTCAAATTTGGCAACAACAGACTCTTCATCTTTTCCACATTCTTTTCTGTACGCCTTTAGTATATGCTCAAATAAGTAAGGTTGTTCACTGTGCGTACTTAGTAGAGCTCTTTCCAGAACATACAAATCAACACCTTTATCCTCGGTACCTTGGTTATAATGACTAAGGCCAAAATCTATGAATACAATGTCGTATGAATCAAATCCTTCCGAGTCTTCTTTGGGATTGATAAGAATATTGGAAGTGGTCAAATCGCCATGTATTATATTGTTGGCATGCATTTTTCCAATAATACTACCAATTGATGAGCACAGAGCTTCCAAGATAGCTTCAACATTATAACCTGTCTCCACGACTTTTTGTATATACAGTTTTGCTGTTATAGCCTTGTCGAAGTATTCCATGTAGAGCTTACGTTCCCCCAAATCCATATGAATTATTCTAGGGGCCAAAATTCCAGCACTTTGACATCTTGTTGCCGCCTTGCTTTCAGCTTTCATGCGCTGCCTGGTGATTTGTGTATCTAATTCATGATGGCGATATTTCTTGACAAACCGTTCTTTGATAAGGCATCGCTCTCCTTTGAATTCACCCAGGTAAAGGCGTCCTTCAGCGCCCTGCTTCAAAATTTCAGCCGGCATATTGATCATATTGATCCACTCCCAACCCCTCTGAAGTAAGTAATCCCGTCTGGAATAGTCTTGTGCAGTTTACGTTCAATTGAATGATTCACTGAAGAGAATAACTGAACTAGTTCAATCAAGGCCATGGGCCAAGGTAGATCTAACAGGTAACCGTATCGGCGAATTGCTACAACAAAGCAACTTTTGTGGTCCCCTCAAATGTCAAAATTGGCATCTAAGGCGAAAAATATATATTCGCCATGACATTTAAAGTTTGCCGAAAATTTGTTTCAACCAATCAGAAACGAGATGATTGTATACATTTTATGTTGTGTGTGGGTATTAAGCCAAGTAATAATACGACTCTCGGGGACCATTGCAAAAGTCCCAAGTTGATAGTTAGCCCTCGAAATGTTTATACAAGCCCACGACTGTACTATCTTCTACGTCTGGGCCGCCTGGAAATGTCCACGATAAATTACATATTAAGACCAGTGCTGGGCCTCAATTCTTGTATATACCTGAAAATGTGAATTGAAAACTTTTATAGAGGAAAGAAATGTCAAATGAAAAAAATATAAAGGAAATATTTTTCATTTCATATTTTCATAATCCAGCCCCTGGACATAATCTCAACACCTAGGATTTGAATAAAATTGCACCACATGGTATGGATTCACCCGCCAACATCTCCAGCGACATTGCCCAAAATGTATCGCATGTTAACAGTGTACATATGCAGCAGCAGTAACAACAATTCTCGAACTGTTCCATGCAAAATCAGGGCACCAACACTCCAATGCATATGGCCATACATACACCACATATTCAACAGCAGAATATGAATATCAGTCATCAAAATCTTAATAATAGCCAACAACATAATACCCAACAACAAAATCTTTTTCTTTTTCCTGGTAATCAGGAAAAATCAGAAAAAAATACTTTTAGTGAAGAAGACATAAATAAACTTTGTTTTTTGGTTGCATTCATTTAGTGCGAATTCAGCATTACAACAACTTATTTTGACATTTAATGGTGTCGTCAGCTGGGCTGATGCGACTTCCTTGTAGATTTACCTTGCCATGGGCTTTTATGACCAAATTTGAAAAAACAACTCAGAAGCTAGAGACTTGTTACTTTACTCTGTTCCAGAACCTTGAAGAATCGGCTTAACTCTAGTTTAGTAAAAACTCTTCAATTTTTTCGAAAAATTTCCAGTGGTAGGTATTTTTACCCTGATCCCGGAAAACTATTTTTTCTTGGGGGACGGACCCGAGACCCCAGATTTTTGACCCCAAAGTCCGGGTTCAAGACCCCGACTCGTCCCGGATCCAATTACCAGACATAGACAATATTGGTGTCGTTGGAAAGCTTATGAAAATATACCTATCCAAGAAGTGGTCACATGATGGAGTATAGTTAAATTATCCATTTTTTGGACCCGGATTTTTTATAAAACTCCAAAAAGTCAAAAAAAGGGTCCATTATGGGGGGTCAACAAAATTATAGCTTGTCACTTATAGGTGACACTCTTACCTTTCTAAAATGCTACAATTTGTAAAGGTATTAATCTTTTTCGGTTCCAGAGACCCGAAGTTCATTAAAATTATATATTTTTGAATTTTTTTCGTTATCATAAAGGAAAAAGGAAAAGTCGGTTATCGTATTAAAGCCTTTTATATTCTTGCAGTTCTTGAACAGATGAATAAATGGAAGTTCGTGTAAACGGGGTTAAATATTTTCTTGACGTTTAGTCATGTGTCGTAAATTAAAAAAATTAGTCAGCTGTTGTGGTTTTGTTTATCTTTCTTCATTTAACAAAGTGAATCATCAGCGAGCCTTTTCAAACACACATATATGTATGGTATTCTTCTACCATTGTCCATTGAATCAAAAGTTCTAACGCTCGCTAACTGAATTATAGCACAGGAAATTTTCCAGTTCTATTATACCTTGGCAACTCTTACCGCATGGCATAAAATTTCCCTTAATATGACAGCTAAAAATCCCAAAATAAAATATGCAGGTGAAATGAAGGATCTCTAAACAGCTGTTTATGTTTAGATGGGCCGATTTTTAAAACCCTTCAAGGAATTCCAGTTTTCGATCTGGTGAACTCTGTGAACTCCAGCTCATGTCTGGCTTTCGACCTGCTAAGCCCTGAAGGCCTTCTTTTTCGATCTGTTGCTCCCTAAAAAATTTAGTCAGCTGTTGTTGTTTTGTTTATCTTTCTTCATTTAACAAAGTGCCGATTTTTAAAACCCTGCAAGGAATTCCAGTTTTCGATCTGGTGAACTCTGTGAACTCCAGCTCATGTCTGGCTTTCGACCTGCTAAGCCCTGAAGGTCTTCATTTCGATCTGTTGCTCCCTAAAAAATTAAAAAATTTAGTCAGCTGTTGTTTTGTTTAGATAGGCCGATTTTTAAAACCCTGCAAGGAATTCCAGTTTTCGATCTGGTGAACTCTGTGAACTCCAGCTCATGTCTGGCTTTCGACCTGCTAAGCCCTGAAGGCCTTCTTTTTCGATCTGTTGTTCCCTAAAAAATTTAGTCAGCTGTTGTTGTTTTGTTTATCTTTCTTCATTTAACAAAGTGCCGATTTTTAAAACCCTGCAAGGAATTCCAGTTTTCGATCTGGTGAACTCTGTGAACTCCAGCTCATGTCTGGCTTTCGACCTGCTAAGCCCTGAAGGCCTTCTTTTTCGATCTGTTGCTCCCTAAAAAATTTAGTCGGCTGTTGTTGTTTTGTTTGTTTTGTTTATCTTTCTTCAAGTGAGTCATCAGCGAGAGAGGCCCAAGGTGGATCTACCTTGAGCGCTTTTCAAACACAGTAAAATAATAATTATTATAATTATATTATAATAATTAAAAACACAACGAAAACATGTCAGATTTATTTAATAATCTCTTTGGCAAAAAGCCTACTTTAAAGGAACAACAGAGGGAGAATGATCGAAACCTAAGAAAAGCGACAAGAGACATTGAGAGGGAACGCCGTAAATTGGAGGAGGAAGAAAAGAAATTGGAGCAGGAAATCAAAAAGAATGCAGCGCAGGGTAACAAGGATGCCTGCCGCATATTGGCAAAACAACTGGTGGAAATACGCAAGCAAAAGGCCCGAACATATGCTGCCAATAGTAAAATAACATCCATTGGCTATCAGAACAAAAATATGGGAACCAATGTGGCCTTGACCGAGGCGATGAGTACAACCGCTCAAACAATGTCCAATATGAATAAAATCATGAAACCTGAAGCCATTGCTGCCAATGTAAGAAACTTCCAACAGGCAAATATGAAGATGGAAATGACTGATGAGATGATAAACGATACCTTGGATGATATGCTTAATGAATCTGGCGACGAAGAAGAGTCCAATGCTATTGTAAATCAAGTGCTGGATGAAATAGGAATTGAAATTTCGGGTAAAATGTCCAATATTCCATCCACGGGATCTGCTGAATTGGAGGACCAAAGAACCGACAAAGATATAGCTGCACAACTGGCTAAACTAAGATCAACATAAAGACCCAGTAATTTTGGATTTTTTGTTATTTCTGCTAATTTGTATTTATATATGAATGTATTGTGTTTCCATTTTATTTAAGATATTATTTAAAATTATTCCAACAAATATATTATTAAACATTAGTTTCCATTTTATATACATAAATAATGCACCACTATGTTTTTACAAACGAGCTGCCATGCCGCCAGTGGCTAATATGGTTTCACCAGTAATGTAACTGGCATCATCAGACACCAAAAATGAAACAACTCCAGCCATTTCATCGGGCGTACCTAATCGATTCATGGGAATTCTCGACAATGCCTCAGCGTTTGCTGATTCATCCTCATAAAGCTAAAAAATAAATCGCATCATTATTTGGTCACATTTATGGCAAAATATTTTACTTACAGCTTTGGAGAATTTAGTCTTTATAATACCGGGAGCTAGGCAATTTACACGAATTCCTTCTGGGGCCAAATCTTTAGCAGCTGCTTTAGTCAAACCAATTAATGCTGTCTTGCTGACGGAATATGCACCCAAAAGCTAAAAGTCGAAATAATCGCAATAATTATCAAAGATTTTTCTCCGTAAAATTCAGAAGAGGGTTATCATATAATGAAAAGTAAAACAAAAATCATATCAGTTTAAAACATTCATTCATGCGAAGTTGAAATGTTTTATATTTTATTATATGATAACCCTCTTCTGAATTTTAGGGAGAAAAATCTAATAATTTAAAAAAAAAATATTGATATTGTGAAGATGTCAATAAGTTATAATGAAGGAATGGAAAGAGATTTTTTAATAGCTGGGTGTTAAAAATATTCGGTGGTTCAAGAGAGAACGATGAAATGCCCCTAAGTCCAAATTCGAACGTAAAAGTTAACGGGGAAGTAAAAAGTTTAAATATAATATAATATATAAAAAATGTTCAGATTTTTGTTATGTTCCAGAACCTGCAAGAATCTATAAGTTTTGCATTTTTTTTCGATTTTATAAAGGAGAAATCGGCTATCGTAGTCAAAACTTTTACATTTTTGCAGTTCTGGAATAGAGTATTTCTTATGATTAAACAAGTAAAAAACTAAGTTCGGCCCGGCCGAATAACCTCCACCATTTGGAACGAATTTGGCAATTTTCAAAACAATAAAATCTGTTAAAAATTCTGTTAAAATCTTAAAAATAATGAATGGAATGAAAAAATACCAAAAATAGGGTGGCTATACCACAACGTGGACCTGCACAGACAATTTTCTGTCATAGGCTGTAGTATCCCTTTCGAACTTCAAATACCGAATTTGAAGCAATTCCGGTGAAAAATGTCGCTAAAATCATCAAAACACCGAATATCGGGAGGTACCGTTATACGGGGGCTATACCAAAACGTGGACCTACAGGGACCATTTCAATACCAAAAGTTCTGCAGACATAATATACATTTGAGTAAAATTTAATCAACCTACTGCATTTCGTTCGGAAGCTAGAGTGATTTCCACAGACGGATAGACGGACGGGGTCTAAAATGTATATTTCGAGGCGTTACAAACGGAATGACAAACTTAATATACGCTCCATACTATGGTGGAGGGGATAAAAAAACAATTTGTCAAAAAATGTAATTGGCCCAAGGAAAGATATATAAAAAAACAAACAAGCCACACTGTTCTATTAATATACAAGGCACGGTCGACGAAGGGGTTTTTGTTGTAACAAACAAAACCAACTTACATGGTTATGCTAATTCGTTCAGGTTGAACGAAAGCATAACAAGTGGAGAAAGATGTAAATGTTTATAAGTGCGGTTGTAAGATTTAGAAGACTTTTCAAAAGTTTTGTTTTTAGTTTTATTTAATTCTTTGGTTCCTCTTCTATTGAGCTTACGATCTCGTCACTTGGGTAAAAAATGTTTTTTGTCATAGAAGTTATTTTTAAAATAACTTCTGGGGAGAATATCCCAGACAAGAAACAAGGGAACTGATGAGGATTGGTGGCTCTTTCCGAAACCTAGGTATTCCCTGCCTTAGCCCCTGGTAAACATTACAAACGTTGTTTTTATAAAAAATAAGAAAATTAATTATTAAATAAATATAATTTTTAATGAATACCTATAGGTAAAAAAATTATTTTTCTGTAGAAAATTAAAATAATAAAAACAAGTAAGCAAAGGCTACAGTCGAGCGGGGCCGACCGTTGAATACCCTACAACACTATAATAAACGATACAGTTTATATAGGCGAGATACTCGAAAGAATTCCACAAGATATTGTGACAAATAATAAAAGAAAACTATCAGGTTTCGTTCTCTAACTTTCGAATAATAGCAACTTAAATTAATTTGTTCATTTCCAATTTATTGGTAGATGTTGCACGTAAATGGTCTTCCTAGATCTGGAACCAATATTTCCCAAAGACCTATAATCACTCGGAAGTGGCAAAAGATTAAGATTTATTTATTTATAGGGCCATCCGAAACTGCTTGGCTTTTGCAATGTGCGGTAACCCCCATTCAAATGTGCGTGAGGATCGGGCGATAATTATGGCCTGCTGACAATTTTGCACTTTTTGGTCCATTTAAATATATGGCGATCATCTCCCAAAAGAGAAGGCCTCTATTCTGACCCTCATCTAATCCCCATGCAAAATTTCGTAAGGATCGGGCCATAAATGCGATCTGTATATGATATTCTGATATCCTAACTACTTAGTTTTGTTAGCTGTAGAAATATTACCAAATGTTTAATTCAAAATGAAAATATGCCAAAAATATGACAAAATTGAAAAAATATGAGAAAATTTTACAAAATCAATATTTTCATCTTTAGAGAGATATTTTTAAGCGATTTTTTTAGACGTTTTTTCTTTCCTGCCAAGAGGCCATTCCGAATTAATGAGAACTGTCGAAATCAGTTGAGCCGTTCTCGACATATAAGAGATTTTTCAAGCATATCTTCTTTGATAGACATATATATCGCACATATTTTGCTATATATCCGATTTGTTGGATGTTAACATCAATGTAAAGATCAGAAGTAACCTTGTCATGGCTTTGTGATTTCGCCGGTATTTAAAATATTCGCGGCTTAGTGAAAAATTTTGATTTTTTTCAACACAAAAGATATGGTCGATTTTACCCGCTAAATATTATCCGATGACCACCCAAATTGGTAGGCTTCTTCCCCGCCCTAAACTCTAGCTACATGCGAAATTCCGCGTCGATTGGTCTATAATTGCGACCTGTATAGCTACTGCAAAACCCGACATTTTTTCAGTGTTTGGTCCATTTCAACCCCTAAACATTTGGCGATCATCTCCAAAAGAAATAGGCTTCTATTCTGACCCTAGCCCGACCTCCATTCTAAATTTCGTGAAGATCGGGCCATAATTGCGACCTGTAGAGTGATTACAAATTAACATGGACAGACGGACAGACGGACGGACGGACATACATAGCTAGATCGACTCAGCTCGGCGAGCTAGGAAGATCCATATATACTTTCCTATGTGGGAAACCAATATTTCGTGGTGTTACATAATTTTTGGCCCAATCAAACTTATAATACCCCAACACATAGTGTTGTAGGGTATAAAAATTATTTTTCTGTAGAAAATAATTTTTTGGCAAACGCCTCTGTGTCCCTTTGACCACTAAATTTGCGATTTGGGACTTATGATTTTTCTTGTGAAAACCACAGAAATACCAATATACTTGTGCTAGCTGCAGCATAATGAAGAAAACTTTGAAGCAAAATTCCACCAATCCATCCAATCCATAATAAACTCTCTCGTTACCTGTAAGGCTAATATTTACGATTATAATTTCCCTTGATTGAAGGTATAAAAGGCGTGAAAACATTTGAAAACAAATGAAAATTTTTTGCCAGCTACACCTTCATATTTAAGGAAGAATTACAATATATATGGTCTGTTGCAGAACCTGCAAGAATCTACTAGTTTTACAATTTTCTACGATATCATGAAGGGATAATCGGTAATCGTAGTGAAAACATTTACATTCCTGCAGTTCTCAAACAGACCAATACATTTCACAATTAAGGAACACCAATCAAAAAAATTGTAATCGTATGATTGCTTGAGATTACCTTGGTAAATGTACCATGGTTTGGAATATAATTTTGAAAGAAAGTCATTTTAACTGAAAACAATTTTTTAAGTATAGTCTCTCGGTTACAGACTACGAATTATTGCAATTGGAATTCAATTGGTACAAAAATTGCACTGAGTATGTTAATAGTTCAAAAATCAACAATTCCTTCCTATCAAAAATGCTAAAATTAAAATTATCAACAGTCTCTTTTCAAGATAAGAAATGTTGATCTTTAAACTCACCGCAAAGGCATCGTATCCCGCAACAGATGAAACAAATACAATGCTGGAGTTCTTTTCCTTGCGCAAGAATGGCAATGCTTCTTTGGCCAAGAGGTAAGAAGACTTAACATTTACATCGAAAATTTTATCCCACACTTTTTCGTCGCATTCCAAAACACCGCCGACAGCTGGATTTGTGGCAGCATTAGATACCAAAATATTTATTTTACCGTATTTCTTTATGGTCTCTTCGAATAATTGTTTGCGATCTTGGGTTTCGGAGACATGGCACTTCAATCCCAAGACATTTAAATTTTCCTTGCGCAAAGTTTCTACAGCCTTATCAACATTTTGTTGTTTTCGACTACTAATTACTACATCGGCACCATCTTGGGCTAAACGTCTGGCAATTGCATATCCAATGCTAGAACAATTCAAAAACTAATATATTTTTTTGGTTTATATGGAATAGAACAATATGATCTTACCCATCGGTGGAAGCCGTTACAATGGCTACTTTTCCCTGTAAGAGTTTCATGTTTTCGCCTGTTGTACTGCTGGTAGAAAAATAACGTTTCTCTTTAGAGTTAAGACAAATGTTTGCAGTTATAGTAACTTGCTGATTAGCAGGGGATTTGTTGTAGATACCAAATGGTGTGAGAACTTTGAACCCTCTACTACGATCCAATGATGACGTTGTGCTTTTGATATGAACAATGATTTTAGGCATCTGTTTGATTGCTTTAAACATGTTTTTTTTTTTTTTAATTTATAGACTATCTCCACAAATTACAACTAATAAATGCAAATGTAAACCTATAGTGTTTAAATATTATTGTTCCCAGAGAGGGGACATTGGGGCTAACAGCTGATGCAGGGGACCGCCAAGCATTCATGAGTGTTTGATAGCTTGATAAAAATTAAGACTGCAATAGATGGGGTCGAGTTCAGAAAATAATTTTGCTAAAGTACTGTACGATTATATAGATTTCATACTTTACATCACTTGGCCTTCATTCAAGTTTGGATTCGATATTTCATTTATAAATGATTTCTAAATCCATTGCATATATACAAATTGATTGATTGTACATATGACTTCGGGAAGAAAACCAAAGAGATATTTTGGGAAATGTTTAACTTTTACTCTTACTTTCCGCACCTTCAAGACCGAACGATTGTACGATATCACCAAATTTGCTTACAGAGGGAGTTCCAAGGCCTTAAAAGAGAATCTAAAGGTCATACGAAGCAGGAATGAGTACCACTCATACTGGAGAATTCCCCGACGTTAATACTGTATGAATACAGTCCTTCTTCTATGAATATTTATTTATTTGAGGTATAGCCAATGGGATTAACAATTTAAACCGACTTGGTTTTCTGAATCCCTTTACAACGTAAACGTACTATAACAGTTCTTCATATTCCCAAACCTAGTCAATCTTTACTCAAGTATTTCTCATCGGTAAATAGGTCTGTCTAGTTACCCAGTTTGAATTTCTCAAGCCCAATTGTTTTGTTATCTTTTTGACAAATAAAGCTGCAAAATAGGAAATTCTTTTTTTTTGGGTAACTTTCTTATCTATTCTATTCTATTCTATATATATAAAAATCAATTGTTGTTCGTTGGTAATGGAATCAGTTGAAAACGGCTGCACCGATTTGCATAATTTTTTGTACAAACGTTCATTATACCCCGAGTTAGGTTTTTAAAGAAAAAAATATTGACCGCGCCCACTTTTACGCCCACTATCTTCATTTATCTAAAATCTTTATATTTGCCAGATAATGAAGATATCGGTTTGAAAATTATTACACGAGATACTGTTGACTTTCCCTTCAACCCTAGGGATTTATTTGGGGGCTGAGGAACTTCCCACGCATACTTCTAATCTATCTATATATATTAAATAAAGTTGTGTTATATACGCTTATAACCCAAGAGCCGCTGATCTGAGTTTAACGATTCACACAAATTCGGAATTGTCTCTTGGCAAAAAAGGATAAAATCAAAAAAAAAAAATCGCGTAAAATTGTGAATTTTGAAAATTTTCATTTTGACTTTTGAAGTGTACATTAGTAATATTTTATTTTGCATGATTTTTTTTTTCCTTTTTGACTTACTATTTTGGAATGTACATTTGTATTTTTTTTTAATTCTTGTAGTCTTTTTGGGTAGTATAAAGCGACGACAATTATGGAGTGGCGGACCTGAATAGATGATGTCAAAATAATTTAACGTGGTCAAACCAAAGATAAAAGATAATTACTTTTTCAAAACTGCTAAAAAATCCAAAAAAAGCCTGTTGCATTGCAAAATCTCTAAAATCGGGAAAAAATAGAGAACATTTTTTCAATGGAATCAAATTTCAAAATAATAGTAAGGACCAAACTTCGTAAGGACCTTTAAACATTCGCTGTAAAAAACCAGCGAACAAGTTGAAGATTGTTTTTTAATTTGTTTATTAGTTACTATGCTTATAACTCAAGAAAGTTTTGACGGATTTTCACAATTCATACAACTTCGGAATGGAATCTTAGCAAAAAAAAAAGTGTAAAATATGCCAATAAAAACAAAAAAGAAAAAAATTCTTTTGGCGTGAAATTTTTCCAATTTAAAAACTATACAGGAGTGTACATTTTTTATTGTTTTGAATTCTGAATAAATAATATCAAAAATGAAATAGTTCGCAATACGATGTTAAATGGCGATCTTTCATGTCTGAAATTGGCATTTAGCTTTCAACTCCAGGATCTACATCGTGCTTCAGCTCGAAGATGCGAACACATTTCAAAAAAAAAAAAAAAAAAAAAAAAAACCGGCAAAACGTAATGGGGCTCATTTCAAAACGGGGACCTACAAACTTCTTTCACATGATAATAATCCGTCCAATGAGACCTCAATATGCAAAATTCATTAGGACTGAAGTCAGTGAAATACCGAATATAAAGAGCGCAAAAAAGAAGAGGGAAAAGGATTTCTATTCTTTCAGAAATTCTTCCTAAACTTTCACGATACCTTAAATCACTTTTGCAGTTCATGATATGGGTCATAACCCCCGGATAAGGATACAAACCGATTTCAAGTATATAATACATTTTAAATATATTTTCATACTAATTTCGGCAAATGTTGGTAATTTGGGAAGAAACTATCCTTGCAAAAAATGATCACGTTTTGTATAACCATCATATGACATTTGTTTAATAGTCTTTGAATTATACTATGATAAAAGGTATGGACATTATGGGGCCTCCAACGCGCAATTTCAATGACAAATACTACTTATTACTTTAAAAACAGGTAAAAAAATAAGTTCGGCCGGGAAGAACTATTATTATCATCCACCTTGGGGTAAAATAAACATTTTTATATAAAAGTATCTGAATTCAAGCGTGTTTCACTTTAAACTTCATATAACAGAAAGACGGTTTGGATAATGCAGTTAACTTACCAAAAAACCATAAAGTGAATGAGGCCGTTATATGGGGCCCATACCAAAACGGGAACCTCTGTTGACAATTTTATACTTCAAGGATTGTTATCTATCAAACCTTCTAAGATACCAAATTTGAAACAATTATGTGCGTAAATGTGACTAGGATTATCAACATACCCAATATCGGTAGGTGTCGTTATATGTGTTAGACAAATCCGAGGAGAAATGTGGCAAAAATCATCAAAATACCGAATTTCGAGAGATACCGTTATATGGGGACTATACCAAAACGTGGACCGATAGATCATTTTCTATACCAACCATCCTATACACAATACAAATTGTTCTGCTAAATTTTGATGCTCTACGTCAAGTAATGTAAGCTGTATCGTAATTTAAACAAACAGACATACTGACGGACAAATCGACTTAGAAATTTGTGCTGATTATGAATATACATATGTATATTTTATGGGGTCTATGACGAATATTTATGGATGTTACAAATGGAATGAAAAAGTTTATATACCCTCCTTTCCAAGATGGAGGATATAATAAGCATTAAAGACTAAAATTACGGGCCGGCAACGCGGACCGGGCCAGCTAGTAATGTTATAAAAACGGTAGTGATCGGACCATTCCTTCTTGTACATCCACTACAAAGGGTCACATTTTTGAATAACCTAAACGTTTATAAAATCCGAAATAAGCATCAGGTTCTCTTTATATTTTACACATCCCATTATTTTCACTAACAAAAGATCTGTTGTGAAGATGGGATATATCGGTCCACTCCTTCTGTTACCTCCCCCTCAAAGGCTCAAAGAAATATATCGGTTGTGCAGATGATGTATATCTGTACCTCATTCACAAAGGGTGACAATTTTCAATACTTTTATCTGTTATAACTTGCGAAACAAGTCAGCGATTCTTTACAACTTGCTATATCTTAATATATCTCCCTATTTGCCAGAAACCTGAGTTGAATATGGAATTTATGATTTCGCATAAAATTGGATAAAAATGTTCGACTTTCTTGTAATTTTGCCCATACCAATATAGGTGTGTCCGGTTACCCTAAAATTTGTAACAATTGTTACAAATTGTTACTGGAAGTCGTCTGTTAACCCGAAAGTTCTGCAAAAGAGAGCGGTTGGAGAGAGAAATTTTGACAGTTCTTTCAGTGAGAGTTTGCAAAGATGTTGCTGGACAATTCCTGCAGGAAAAGTAACCAGACACACCTATTTTTATCTGTATTTGATGAAGTATGAAAATGGAACACTTCAGTCGACTATATCTGGTACATCACACACATTTTAACATTTTCTAACAAATATCACATATCTCATGTAAAGTGAAGGACGCAAAACCAGGCACGTGTCAATATTTATATTATATTTATTTAGATCCGATACGAAATGGACAGTATTTGCCCATTCCTTCGGAACCTATTCCATAAAGGGTCAATAGTTTGAATAATCATACCACAAGTCAAAATATATTTAAAAAATCGAATATTGGCTGAGGGTATACATCTGTCGGTAAAACCGACTGATACATTTTAACTGTTTTTATACCCTCCACCATAAATAGTTAAGTCATCATTCCGTTTGTAACTCATCGAAATAAAAATTTTAAACATAACAAAGTACATATATTCTTGATCCGCGTAAAATTCTAAGGCGATTCAGCCCTGTCTGTCCGTCCCTCTGTCCGTCTTTTGTAATCACGCTAGAGTCAAAACGAATAAAGATAGGAAGCTAAAATTTAGCACGGAAATGTATTTTGTCATCAGGCATGTCAAGTCCACGGTATCGTATAGCCCCCATATAACGGTACCCCTTGATATTCGGTATTTCGATGATTTTAGCCACATTTTTCAATGGAATTGTCTGATATTCTACACAAGGAGTTCTTTGTGAGTGCTTTACCCCCTGAAAGAGGATTGTCTATATCGGTCCACGATAACGTAATGAACCGCACCTTCCAATATTCAGTATTTTGATGATTTTAGCCACATTTTTTCAACGGAATTGTCTGAAAATTCACACAAGGAGTTCCTTCTGAGTAATTTACACCCTAGAAGAGAATTGTCCAAATAGGTAGACGTTTTAGTATAGTGCCCATGTAACGGTACCCCCAGATATTCAGTATTTTCATAATTTTTCCTAAAAGTATATAAAGTTTAAAACCGTTACTACAGCCAGCCTATGACACAAATTACTTATACAGGACCGCGTCTTCGTATAGCCCACATATAACAGTTTTCATTTGAGCGGTATTTTTCGACGGATTTTTTTTTAGAAAATTTTCAAGTTTCTTCCAAATGGTAAAGGGTATTCTATGTTCGGCCGGCCGCACTTACAGCTTTATTGCACTTTTGGATAAACGAACAGTGAACATTTGTACAAATTCCAGTAAAAATTTGTACAAATGATCGAGTAAACGAATGTGATATTAAACCAGCATTCATTTTCCGGATAAAAAGACTGACAAACAATTCATTCCATTCCAGTTTATAATGGCCACCAAAATCTCCGTATACCAATTCGTTGGACAATTGTGTCTGTCGTATTTTGGAAAGCAAGGCTGGCACTAAAAAATACCAAAGTGTCGATCACCTCAAGCAAGCGCTTTGCCGGGAATGGGCCAAAATACCGCAGAGCAACATTCGGGCAGCGTGTGACGGTTTCATTTGCCGCTTGAAGGCCATAATTCGTGCTAAAGGTGACCTATTCGAACAAATCTAAAATTTGATGCTATTTCCGACATTTTTTGCTTTCATTCAATAAAATTTAAAAAAAATTTAAAAATCCTGGCGTTTGACTTTAATGCAGTTTTTTTTATCTCACGCTGTATATAAAGGTACCTCTTGTTCTTCGAAATATTATAATTACACATTCACGTTGTTGTTACAGAAGCATGTGAAAGTAGCCTGTATGATTTTTTTTGTGACAGATACGTACTGTTACATCTGCAACGAAGTTTAAAATGAAACCCCATTTGTCTTCTTCTCCTTAAATGTGCTAAAGTATATTTATTTGAGTTCATCTCAAGATGAAGGGTACACGCTATTCGAACCGACTGAACACAACACAACTTTTTATTTATTACTTATTTGTTACCTCTTTTTTTATTGTAGGTGCGAATTACTAGGGCAATCATAACAGACTGTGTAGTAGCAAGATTTGCATGAGCATTGTAGTCATCATCTCAATACTTTTTTGTGTTATTTTTTTTCTAAATTAAAGGCAGATGATACGAAGATAAGTTTTCCGAAAACTACCTTTTAATTTTCATTATCGTGTTTTCTCCCAATGTTTATTGCAAGTCGCAGTGCCAGTAAACTTGAGATCGTCAAAGTGTTAGCACGGTTAGCATTGTATTAATATCTATTTGGACGTAGCTAGCTACATACTATCTATCTATCATCATCCCGACGTAGGGTCTACCGTTGTTTTCCGTTCGTGTCGGTAGTAGCCAAATGCTAGTTGGGCCTTAAAATATCTACGCATAGCATGTGATGGAAGAAATTTGTTAATAAACTGCATACACATCGACTGTGTATAGACACACATACCTACATATTTATTTAATAAAAATAATAAATAAATTCTTTTAATACCATTTATCTTGAACGACAAACTAAATAATTGAGAAAATTTACGGCTACCAATTAGTACGAAACGAAAATTCGGCTAGACAGCGTACTGTGTTACGTTCGGGAAAAGAAAACAAAAACAACGTAGCAGTTAATTACTCTTACAAAAAAAATTAAATTACTACCTCGGTCGGAAGGTGGTAAGAACTAACGAAAATGAGTGAAAATCATAATGACCACAATCATAATGTCAACAAAATTAAATCTCTAAAGGAGTTTAAAGCGCCCGTATTCAAGGAAGACGAACTGGTCGTCTATGTCCATCCCTACAACTTCCATTCCCAAAAAGTATGTTCAAATAGCAAACACTGCAGCTTAAACGCATCAAATTCGTTTGTATTTTGCGCACAAACCGTTATGTGTAATTAAATAGACTAAAGTTTTTTGCTTCTTATCATGTGATCTGAATGGTGGTAGCCGAAACGTTTGTTTTCGGCGAGATCAAACTTATGTGTATGTATGTGATTTAAGTGCCTGTATATTGGGGTGCGCCGCCTACATAGTTTTCGGCAACATATACTTAGTCAAAACTGAAACCGTATAAATAATGTTATTCGCCAAAAATCGTTAAAACAAAACGTTAAACCTGCGAATGTAAATATTTTGGATATCTTGTCTGGTTAAAACAAGAAAATTGAAATATAATTCATGAACTTTGTTATATAATGTAGGTACTAAATATTTTTAAACTGTCCAATAATTTTCGCGGAATGCAAAATACGTCAGCTTAAATTATTTGTCTTGGGCGGGTCATACCCCACGCCAGGATCGTTATTAGTTTTGATCGTTAACATTTCCAGCTACATTTGCTCAATAAGAAATTACTAAGAGTAAATACGAATTTTGCTCTCTCAAGAGTATCAACTGCAAAAGTTAACAAACATCAAACATAAAAACAAAATTACATGTTGGGCGCCAATAAGTGAAATCACATTTTATACCTTCAGCCATATCAGCCATCATTTGATACGGCCAAAACGTGCCTTATCGATATAACGGTTTAAGACCCTAGGTCTATTTGGACCAAATCCGATTCAGAACATTTGGAGTGATGTCTGGCTGGTGCGATCCGATTTGGTCCAAACTTGGTACATCGTAATATTATTATAAAATTTAGATTGTGTTCGGAGATGGGCAATATCGGCCCACTCCTTTTGGTACCTCCCCCACAAAATGTCGAAATGGTTAAACAAAATAATTTACTGTACAAAAAGAGAAATGATAAACCGATTTTGCTCCAAATGTGCAACTCCTAATATTTGAATCAGTGCTAGGTCAGGTGCAAAAATGGACAAAATAGGTCCACTCCATCAAGTACCTCCCCCTATATAACTGTTATAAACAGTGATGTAAGAATCCAATTGTCTTGAATTACTCATATTACAATATTTTTATTAACCCAAGGTCTGGTGTGAAGATTGAATACATCGGTCCACTCCTTCTGGTACCGCAACCACAAAGGTCAACAACCTGAATACTTGGTACATTTCAATATTTCTATCAACACAAAATCTGTTATAAATATGGTAGAGATCGGACCATTCCTTTTGGTACCTCCCCCACAAAGGGTCAAAGTTTTGAATTACCAAGACAATTATATAATCCGAAATAGGCATCCGATTCTCTTTATATTTCACACATCTCATTATTTCTACTGACACAAGATGTGCTGTGAAGATGGGATATATCGGTCCACTCCTTCTCCACAAAGAACAAAATTTTGAATATCCATGAAGCTCAGAAAATGCGAAATTAACATCCAATTCCATTCTTGGCACATCTCCAAAGTTCCATCAACACAAGATCTGATATAAAGATGGTAGGGATCGGACCATTTCTTCTGGTACCTCCCCCACGTAGGGTTCAAGTTTTGAAAAACTCCTAAAAAACATTTTGTCCAACACCAAATTTGTTGTGAAGATGATATATACCTGCGCACCGCTTTTCGTACCTCTCCCACAAAGGGTCACAATTTTCAATACTTTAATTCATTAATTTGAATAACCATAACAGAAGCCAAAATATATTTCAATAATCGTACATTGGCTGAGGGTATACATCTGTCGGCAAATCCGACAGATACTTTTTAACTGGTTTTTTACAACAATTATTTTAACAATTTTTTCAAAATTATTAATTTGAAAACATAATATTGTCAAAATTTATATTTATATATTCATTGTATACAAATGTACAAACCAGAAATGTGAGCAGTTCTCTATGCACTGGAATTGAACAAGGTAAATTACAGAAAATGCAGAGATGGGTATGCTTACCATAAACTTTAAATGTTGCTGGAAAATTTAACTAATATAGATTACCAAAGAGACGCCTTAAATCCAACTACTTACTTCAGTCGAGTTTGTAAGAAACGAAAGAAAAGCCCAATCTTGAAAGCGCTTTTACAGAACGTCTTATTTAGATTGCCAATGCCATTGATTATACGTAAAATATATTTGGGTGAGAAAAATCTGACATTTTTATTTAATTTCTTATTTGAGTATTATTTTTCAATTCTTATTTCAATTATTGATTTTGAATATATTTTATATTTATTAGAACAGTGTTGGCTTAATCATATTATTGTTGTTTTCATAAAAACACTGTTTATTTATTAGTGTAGAAAAAAATAAACAAACGTTATTTTTATAAAAAAAAAACAAAAATGGGATTAAGCCAGACTCTTATTCAAAACGAATACAAACACAGCTGGTAGCTCTGAGTTACTTTTTTATTGGACCGGGTCTATAACAACAAATTGGAATAAAACCAAGCATGAAACGTCAGATTAAAAATAAACTGACAAAACATCTCGAAAGAAAAATAAACAAATAAATCATTTAAATATGATCTTCGTCTTACAAGGCAAAACTCAAAAAAAAATAAATAAATAAATAATAATAATTAACTAACACCAAAATACACATTTTCAGATATTGCCAAAACTCCTTCAAATAAGTAAAATCAAGTCATATTTTATATTAGGGCTGAAAAAATGCTTGATATCGGGGTTTATTCTAATAAAGGGACTAAACCAATAAGTGGACTGACATGGTCCATTTCTTAAAACAATAATTCTTGAAGTAATCCAATAATCCTTATAAATTTTCAAAACTTTATACTATATGTTGCGAAATATGACTCAAAATATTAGGGTCCCTTTGTATACAGGATGAGATAAAAAAACCGCAACAAAGTCAAACGCCAAAATTTCTACATTTTTTTTAAATTTTTTGAAAGAAAGCTAAAAATTTCGGAAATAGCATCAAATTTTAGAATAAGTTTAGATTTGTTCGAATTGGTCACCTTTAGCACGAATTATGGCCTTCAAACGTCCAATGAAACCGTCACACGCTGCCCGAATGTTGCTCTGCGGTATTTTGGCCCATTCCCGGCGAAGCGCTTGCTTGAGAGATCGACGCTTTGGTATTTTTTAGTGCAAACCTTGCTTACCAAAATACTCCAGACACAATAATCCAACGGATTGGTATCCGGAGTTTTTTTTTTTTGGTTAAATTTAAAATCCTATCGTAAACTACGTAATCGAATACTCGTAAAAAAAGTTACGAGTTTATTTTGTTGGAATAAATTATTGATTTTGAACAAAAAATGTCACATCGGTGTTATTTACCATGTTTTGTTATTTACCATTTCTTAATTTTTATCACAAATATTACTTAAACTTTCTCATGCACGTCTAAAAAAATTAAAAAAATATTTTTTCATAACTTTTCTAGGTGCTCTTGCTGCTTTATGAGAAAAATATTGATTTTACACCTTATGTAGTGGATCTTTTGAATGGAGAACAATATTCCGAATGGTTCCTCAATCTTAATCCAAAAGCTGATGTACCTGTTTTACAGGATGGTTCCATTGTGGTGCCAGATTCGGTACATATCATAAACTATGTTGAAAATAAGTTCCATGGAGGTAATATTATACAGTGCGAATGGACAAACAAGTTCTTATAACGTATAAAGATTAATACTTTGCAGGTGATTATAAAACCCTAAAACCCAAACGAGGCAATAAATTAGAAGATGAAAAAATGCAAGTGTACGATCAAATATTGAGTCGCTTACCTGTGGGAGCCCTAAGTTTGGGATCATTTATACATGATGATTTGAAATTGGTACCAAAACCACCATTTATTGGACCGATTCGCAAGACATGTTTAAGTAAATACCCACGGATCTTTTTTTTTTTTTTTTGATTCGTCTTTCTAATATATTCCTTCTTTTTATAGAGAATAATGAAAGGGTACATGAGTTGCTGAAAGAATCCATAGACCGAGTTGAGGACCACAAGATGGCCCTGTTGCGTAAACTGGACCTGCAAGAACGTAGAAAACGTCTAGTTTATTCACGTTTAGAATATCAAAAGATATTGGATGCCATTCAAAATGTTTTACGCTTCATTGAGGATGACATGAATGCCAACAGTCACAGAGAATGGTTGGTATCCAATGATTTCAGCATGATTGATGTTTGTTTCGGTCTGCTATTGCTGCGTTTATACCAGCTGGGTTTTGAAAACTACTACTGGTCCTATGGTAAACTGCCACGTATTGAAAGTTACTTTTTGCGTTTCAAGAAGCGACCTTCGTACGACAAATTAATGCCCAGCAATTTCGAAATACTCAAGGACATTTGGCAAATGACTCCATCTAATTATATTATTGGCGCTGGAGCCGGTGTCCTAGGTATGGCAGTGTTTGCGGCATTTGCTCACAAATAACAAAGCAAGACATACAAACGTGCACATCCATACGAAATAAAACACAAATGATTATTAATAAAATTGAAACACATTTAAACGTGATTTAATTAAAACCATAAATAAACCATCCTACACAAGAACTTTAACGAAAGCTAGACAATTAAAACAAGGGTAGAAAATGAAAATGTATGGAAAATAATATAAAATAAACTAAAATTAAAAATACAATAACAATTACAATGATAACTACACATTCAAGTATTGCACTAAATTTGTTTTTGCCACCCAGATAAGGCACATCCCACAGCAGTCACAAATGTATGTCATGATTAAGATGTATCCAATGTTTATCATATGAGAGATAAAAAATAGATAAACTTTTAACTTTATTACATTTTTTATAAATAAGTTTGGTATCAAAAAATCATCTAGCACCATTTTAACATACAATTACATTGTATCATTGTTTGAATTCGAAATTTGAGTATTGTAAGTTCCTGTCTTCGGACTTGTGTACAGAGGCATTCCCATGAATTTGGGAATTTGATTGGGACTAGTCGTGTTACTACCATTTCCACTTCGTACGCCGCTGCTGGTTGTTGCCTTAGTCACACTGTTTGTGCGCTTAAAAACAAATGCGTCTTTATTTTCACGTTGATAAAAGAAATCGCCACTTCCAGCTGGATCGGGTAATACAGCAGACGAACGATACCAAAAACGATATGTAAAATACCATGTAAATATGGCAATAATGCCGCTAATGAACTTCTCGATCATGCGATGATAATACAGCATGGTGCCCACCAACATAACATCCCAAAGCAATTGCAACGCTGACATGCCAATGAAAAGCAAACGAATTACAGGTGTCAATCGTTCATAAAGAAATTTCAAATTTTTCATTTGTTCTTCACTTAGATTACGCAACGGATTTGTACTGGATTGTTCGGATATTGAGCGATCGTGTATCTCGTTACGTAGATGTTCCTTAATTGATTCCCACTTTACAATTGGTCTAGCTTCTTCAATCAGCACCAGGCTGGAGTGTATTAATATGAATGCGTGGCCAGATATATCGAAACCACTCCATAAATGCCCCGCTTTGAGGCAGCTGGATTTAGTTTGGAAACCTAAAACGAAATGATTTATGAATTAAAAGAGTTTAATTAGAAATAAAATGGAATCTACTATCTTCTAATGAAAAACATTGCTGTTTTCTTCCGTCCAGTTCCTTGACGCCGGGCTACGCAACCAGTATTACGGTAACGAGCGATGGTACGAGACACAAAAGATTTATTCACATTTAAGTGCTGAAGTTGGTTGCAGTTTTTTCATCTCACCCTCTATAAGTGTTTCGGTAATAACCAAACAAAAAACGGAAGCAGAGCTTATGTGAAAGCCTTGTTTTTCTGAATAATTATTTAAGGGATTTTATCAAAGGCTTACATACTGTTCCCTATTGAATGGACACGTCTATATTTATCACATCCGTCTTTTTTCTATTTCACTTATAGATATGGTCTTTGGTCATTTATGTTCCCTCAAAACGAACGGTTGCCCAACTAGGCAACTGAATATTCTTGAACCTAAAATTTGCTGACCTAAACCTAAGAGTTCATCATCCTGCATTTTTATTTCGTCCTATTTGACACAAAATATATAAACAATTATACGACAGAAAAGAGCGCCATAAAAACATACAATCAGTGTTTTATGAAGTCTGGTATAAATATATTATTCGGAACAAAATATAAATGAACAAATTTCCGTATACAGAAATAGACATTATTAAAAAATTAACGCGTAACCCAATTTTGGAATAACAAAAAGTTTAAAAAACAACCAATCAAATCAGAGACACTCTTTAATTGTTTTTTTAACCATAGCCCATTTGAATAAACCGAATTCGTTTAATTTTTCTATACCAATATAGAGGTTCAAGGTATATGAAAAAGAGAATAGATACAAAAACAAATAGGCATAACACAGAGATAATACATATTGCAATATATAAGCAACAATTGATTAGAACCATATTTAGGGTTTTTGAAAGATCAAATACGAAGAATATTTTTATCTAAACTGGCAACAGATACTAATTAAACTAGAAGTAAATAATTTAAAATTTTTATCGTTTATACTTACTTCGCACAGTACACCTTCCATACGATGTTTCGATAATATTAAACAACTTTGTCCAGAAGAACCAAAAGAATGTGGCTATGACGATGCGTGGAGCGTGATGACGCAATAATTTCTTCATATCACCGCAGCATAGAGTATACGATGTCATAAACAAAAATGGCACAGTAAACAATAGAGTCCAACCCCAGCCGACTTTTACAAAGTATACATTAAACAAATTATCCGAACGGGCAAAATATGTTTTGGGAAATGGTATAAAGTCTCCTATCAATGAAACTAAAAACAGACTGCCCAGATAGAGGGCAACCTTTAAATTCGTATCGAAGAATATGGTCTTCTTGCAAACATGCATAATCATCATAACAAAGATCTCGCGTATACTAGTTGGTGCTGCTGTGGGTCGTGTTCCTTTTGCTTCGGATCTCAGAACTTCCGGACCACCCGGCCGGAAATTCATATTAGGTTGGGGTCGTATTGGCCGACGTTTCGTTGCCATCTTACGTTGTTTCAAGCACCTCTTTTTGGAGTGCTTGTTGCTCGCAGCGGTATTTCGACAGATTAACTTGGCCAAAATAACTTACTTATGTTCGAAAGTGAAAGTTTAGTTCACTGGTGGGGGCAAGATGATCGTTTTGTGTCAAAGTTCAAGCAAACTATATGAGACAATGTTTTCATCAAATTCGTGTTAGTTCGTTGCAAATTCCTTCAAAATTGTCGTTCACAGTAAATATTAACTGAATCGTTTGTTTTTATTTCACACAAATGTTATTTTATTTCAATTTAAAACATTTTCAATCTTTGTTATGAAAAATTCCAAAATAAGCTAGGTAGCCTGTTGTAAAAATAAATATCATTTCACCTGCATATTTTATTTTGGGATTTTTAGCTGTCATATTAAGGGAAATTTTATGCCATGCGGCTGGAGTTGCCAAGGTGTAATAGAATTTAGAAAATTTCCTGTATTATAATATAATACAGGTTTTTGGAGCGTTACAACTTATGATCCAATAGTCAACTAATGGTAGAAGAATGAAGGTAGATGCATCCATGGTACAATAAAAGGGTAATGTAGAGCTACCAGCTGATTAAAAATTTTTTCTAAGTTTGCCCGACTTCTGCCAATTTTGTGTATGTATTTATTGTTTTGAAAAATAAAAACAAAATATTTTCAAAATCAATAATTGGAAGACGAGTAAATTGCGAGACGCGCATTAAAGCTATTCACCAGTTTTATAATGGAATTGAAAGATATAACTGTCCAGATGATATTTTTGAAAGAAAATCCAGGCGTTTCATTAATTTTTTCCCGCTGAGGAAAATATTGTATAAATGACAAGAACTTGCAAATTTGACAGGAAACGGGCATAGCCTCAGGGCTGTATCTATGTAGTTTTACGAAGCTGTTCTAACTCCTTATTGCACCATGGATGCATCAAAGCTTGGAAACATTAATGTGTAAAAATTTTAAAGGTGTTTTGTCAAAAATCCGTAGATTTGTATATGTTTTCCTATACAACGCCGATCGGAGGTTGTTATGAGATGCACTTTTCAACAATTTTAAATAATTTTTCATTCAACATTTTCAATTTCAAAATACATTGAAGTTCATTGTCCCAGCAGCTGTGTCGATCAACTACCTGTATTCTTCTACCATGGGTCAACTTCATGAAACTCGCAATTTTAAACCTACTAAATCCAGCTTTTAAATCCTACTTGTTAAGATTAGTTTTCAATTATATAATTATCAGTCACAAACCTTTTTTGTTTATTAGTGGAGAACGATGGTTATGTTTACCAGGGGGTAAAACAGGGAATACCTAGGTTTCGGAAAGAGCCACCAATCCTAATCTGTTCCCTTGTTTTTTGTCTAGGATATTCTCTTTAGAAGTTATTTTAAAAATAACTTATAACTTATTATTCAAAAAACTTTGTTTACCCAAGTGACGAGATCGTAAGCTCAATAGAAAAGGAACCAAAGAATTAAATAAAACTAAAATTCTTTTGGAAAGTCTTCTAAATCTTACAACCGCACTTATAAACACTTTCATCTTTCTCCACTTGTTATGCTTCGTTTTACACGAACCATGGTAGAAGAATACAGGTAGTCGCATCGACACAGCTGCTGGGACAATGAACTGTCAAACTAAATTTGAAATTGAAAATTTTGAATGAAAAATTATTCAAATTCCTAAAAATGGTTGAAAAACGAATATCATAAAAATCTCCGATTGGTATCGTATAAGAAAACATGTCAAAATCTACTCATTTTTGAAAAAGCATTTCAAAAATTTTGACATATCATAGCGTATCCCAAGCGTTGATGCATCTGACTGTCTTTTTCTACCATGACACGAACGAAGTAGTAAGTTGGTTTTGTCTGTTACAACAAAAACCACTTCGTCCACCGTGCCTTGTCTATTAATCAGCGTTCGAAAATAAACAGTACACAAACATAGTGTACTGTACCGGTACAGTATCACAAAAAAAAATTAGCGGTAGTGTCCGGTACACAACGATGATCGTAGTGTACCGCAGTCGGAGCGCTAAGTGTATCGCAGTCGGAACACTAAAAAATAGTAGTGTACCGGAGTAGGAGCACTAAAAATCAAAGTGTACGTTGCAAATTCCTTCAAAATTGTCGTTCACAGTAAATATTAACTGAATCGTTTGTTTTTATTTCACACAAATGTTATTTTATTTCAATTTAAAACATTTTCAATCTTTGTTATGAAAAATTCCAAAATAAGCTAGGTAGCCTGTTGTAAAAATAAATATCATTTCACCTGCATATTTTATTTTGGGATTTTTAGCTGTCATATTAAGGGAAATTTTATGCCATGCGGCTAGAGTTGCCAAGGTGTAATAGAATTTAGAAAATTTCCTGTATTTTAATATAATACAGGTTTTTGGAGCGTTACAACTTATGATCCAATAGTCAACTAATGGTAGAAGAATGAAGGTAGATGCATCCATGGTACAATAAAAGGGTAATGTAGAGCTACCAGCTGATTAAAAATTTTTTCTAAGTTTGCCCGACTTCTGCCAATTTTGTGTATGTATTTATTGTTTTGAAAAATAAAAACAAAATATTTTCAAAATCAATAATTGGAAGACGAGTAAATTGCGAGACGCGCATTAAAGCTATTCACCAGTTTTATAATGGAATTGAAAGATATAACTGTCCAGATGATATTTTTGAAAGAAAATCCAGGCGTTTCATTAATTTTTCCCGCTGAAGAAAATATTGTATAAATGACAAGAACTTGCAAATTTGACAGGAAGCGGGCATAGCCTCAGGGCTGTATCTATGTAGTTTTACGAAGCTGTTCTAACTCCTTATTGCACCATGGATGCATCAAAGCTTGGAAACATTGATATGTAAACATTTTAAAGGTGTTTTGTCAAAAATCCCTAGATTTGTATATGTTTTCCTATACAACGCCAATCGGAGGTTGTTATGAGATGCACTTTTCAACAATTTTAAATAATTTTTCATTCAACATTTTCAATTTCAAAATACATTGAAGTTCATTGTCCCAGCAGCTGTGTCGATCAACTACCTGTATTCTTCTACCATGGGTCAACTTCATGGAACTCGCAATTTTAAACCTACTAAATCCAGCTTTTAAATCCTACTTGTTAAGATTAGTTTTCAATTATATAATTATCAGTCAACAAACCTTTTTTTTGTTTATTAGTGGAGAACGATGGTTATGTTTACCAGGGGGTAAAACAGGGAATACCTAGGTTTCGGAAAGAGCCACCAATCCTAATCTGTTCCCTTGTTTTTTGTCTAGGATATTCTCTTTAGAAGTTATTTTAAAAATAACTTCTATGACAAAAAACTTTGTTTACCCAAGTGACGAGATCGTAAGCTCAATAGAAGAGGAACCAAAGAATTAAATAAAACTAAAATTGTTTGCGCCAATGCGGGGAAATATGCAAAGCTCAACCAAACAAAATAGAATAAAAACACAATAGGGGGGTTTTAGTTTTAAAGAATAATGACATAGGCCGTATTTATTAATAATAATAATAAATAATAATAATTGGTAAGACAGATTACCTGATTTGCACAATAGCGGGGGAGCGCGACTTCGTATCGAGCGATAGAAGGAACGAGAGTAAAATCAACGATCAAAACATGAAGGAAGGTGGAGGCTTTGGCGCCATTCGCCACTCGTTGAAATCTGTTTACATTTATGTTGACAGGTCTAAACGAGGTTAATCATTTACAAATTAATTATGCGTTAACCCATTGTTAACGTTACAAACAAATAATTACCAATCTAAATTAAACATGCCGCCCACCTTGCAACATATTGAGATGTTGTAACTAAAATACAATAATAAATAAATTTTTTTCAACTTTTTTTTTTTCATTCAATTTCAATTTAATTCATTTTTTTTTTTTTTTTTTTTTTATTTCTTAATTCATATCATTTTTTTCAAAAAACATTGTGTAACACTATGTGTTACATATGCCCGACAATACCCACCCAAATATGGTGTAGTGGGCTATCGGCAACCCTGGCGTCGCTTGCACCCGATGAGTTACGACCCTGGCATAAACTTCCGGCCCGAGTACCAAGGCCACCCGACCAGGCCTATTAAAATCGGGATCTGCCAAAGGAAGACCTAAAAATGAGTCACGAATGCGCTCGGGGATTACCGCTGTAGGCGTAAGCGCATGGTCCAAATTGGTTACCACAGCCACAATTGAAATGGACTGACTCCGGTCATAGATCGAACTAACGGTCAGCCGACATATTTGGCTACCTTCGATTCTAGAAGTAGGGAGTCGAAGATTATGCACCAAAGAGGAACATATCTGACTCTGCCTACTACACGGGTCCAAAACCGCCCTCACAATAGTGGGTCGATCGGACGACATAATTTTGACTATCAAAGTCGGGGATAGGCAGATACCTGTTTGGAGGGACAACAAGCCGACCAATCCTATCTGCGAGGGGGGAGCGTTATCAGACGGACGACTATACGGGCTGTTACGTGACCGATACCTATACTCGGTCCGCGGACGACGCTGACGATTATTAGTGGGTTTAACCACGGTCTTCGTATCTTCATGAAGGAGGGTGTGGTGTTCTTCATTGCATACGGCACATTTTCTTTTGCTTCGGCAGTCCCTAGCTTGGTGGGATTTAGATAAACACCGTATGCAGTCATTGTATTTTAGGACAATGCGACGTCGCATGTCAACATTCATAACCCGGAAGTCACTACATCTATCCAGCGGGTGCATGCGGTCACAAAGGCGACATTTATGGGAGGCCGCAGATGAATCCCGAGGGGATTCGGACCTATTAAATTTGGCCGACTCCACCAACGACTGAGGAGTGGCAACCGGAGCCGCAGATGGACCCGAAGATCCGGCTCGAAGGACCAATGTTTGCGCCAATGCGGGGAAATATGCAAAGCTCAACCAAATAAAATAGAATAAAAACACAATAGGGGGGTTTTAGTTTTAAAGAATAATGACATAGGCCGTATTTATTAATAATAATAATAAATAATAATAATTGGTAAGACAGATTACCTGATTTGCACAATAGCGGGGGAGCGCGACTTCGTATCGAGCGATAGAAGGAACGAGAGTAAAATCAACGATCAAAACATGAAGGAAGGTGGAGGCTTTGGCGCCATTCGCCACTCGTTGAAATCTGTTTACATTTATGTTGACAGGTCTAAACGAGGTTAATCATTTACAAATTAATTATGCGTTAACCCATTGTTAACGTTACAAACAAATAATTACCAATCTAAATTAAACAAAAATTCTTTTGGAAAGTCTTCTAAATCTTACAACCGCACTTATAAACACTTTCATCTTTCTCCACTTGTTATGCTTCGTTTTACACGAACCATGGTAGAAGAATACAGGTAGTCTCATCGACACAGCTGCTGGGACAATGAACTGTCAAACTAAATTTGAAATTGAAAATTTTGAATGAAAAATTATTCAAATTCGTAAAAATTGTTGAAAAACGAATATCATAAAAATCTCCGATTGGTATCGTATAAGAAAACATATCAAAATCTACTTATTTTTGAAAAAGCATTTCAAAATTTTTGACATATCAATGTTCCCAAGCGTTGATGCATCTGACTGTATTTTTCTACCATGACACGAACGAAGTAATAAGATGGTTTTGTCTGTTACAACAAAAACCACTTCGTCCACCGTGCCTTGTCTATTAATCAGCGTTCGAAAATAAACAGTACACAAACATAGTGTACTGTACCGGTACAGTATCACTAAAAAAATTTTAGCGGTAGTGTACCGGTACACAACGATGATCGTAGTGTACCGCAGTCGGAGCGCTAAGCGTATCGCAGTCGGAACACTAAAAAATAGTAGTGTACCGGAGTAGGAGCACTAAAAATCAAAGTGTACGTTGCAAATTCCTTCATAATTGTCGTTCACAGTAAATATTAACTGAATCGTTTGTTTTTATTTCACACAAATGTTATTTTATTTCAATTTAAAAGATTTTCAATCTTTGTTATGAAAAATCCATTCCAGGTCACCGACAACAAGCTAAATAAGGATCCAAATTTTTAGGGACCAACAGATCGAAAAAGAAGGCCTTCAGGGCTTAGCAGTTCGAAAGCCAGACATGAGCTGGAGTTCACAGAGTTCACCAGATCGAAAACTGGAATTCCTTGCAGGGTTTTAAAAATCGGCCCATCTAAACATAAACAGCTGTTTAGAGATCCTTCATTTCACTCATGGTACAATGATAGGTGTGTCTGGTTACTTTTCCTGCAGGAATTGTCCAGCAAAATCTTTCTGAGAGAGTAAGGTAGTTTTATTAGTTTTATTCTCTTTTGCAAGGAAAATCAGCTGATTTGTCAAAACAAACCAATATGTCCCCTATTAAAAAAAATAAAATGAAAGGAAGGACCACCAATTTTACAAGTCTTTTAAATAAAAAGGAAATTAGCAATTAAACAAAAATATGAGCAATAAAAGAAAGATAGATTTTATGTGTTCCCCGGAGTCCTTTCAATTTGTTGCTAATGGCGTTTGTCTAAAAACTTTGGAAATAGCCTTTTATTTTCTTATTACATATTAATATTTACGTTTTTCACATTTTGTAAAGTTTATCTAAAAAACAATTAGTCTTGCCCATTCCAAAAAAAATATTTTCAAATTGAAAGCACAAAAAGAAATAAACAAACAATAGAAAACATCTGATTGAATGTCGATGAATGTGAAAAAGAAGAGTTGCAAGTGATTGCAAGAAGAAATTTTTCCAGCAAGAATTTGCAAACTCTCACTGAAAGAACTGTCAAAATTTCTCTCTCCGACCGCTCTCTTTTGCAGAACTTTTGGGTTAACAGACGACTTCCAGTAACAATTTGTAACAATCGTTACCAATTTTATGCTAGGAACACAATTGGAGCGAACGACGAATTTTTTCGCGGCGTATGTTCGTCGTCAAAAATAAAACACATATGAGTATATGGAAGTGCACACAATCACGGCACCGGCGAAAATTTCGTCGGTCGCCGCGAACTCAATTAGCTTTATTTCTATTTCATACGCCGGCGACCGGCGAACAAAACAGTACAAGGTGGCCATACTTGTACGAATTTTATGTGTTTTAGTAAATAAAGTTACTTTTTACTTTAAAATTTGTTATGGTCACTCTACTATCTGTTACTCGTATAAAAAAAACATAATTAATTTGTTTATTTATTTGTGTACTTGCGCCTGAGTGAAGATGGATATCAGTGAATTTATAATAGAGAAGATGGACATAAGTGAAATTATAATAGAGAACGTAAAGAATTATGTGTTCTTGTATAATTCATTGTAGTCAACAAATGAGCAAAAAGTAAACAACTTCATCAGCTGTTTTATAATTTCGTCGGTATTGTGTTCCATACGACGAATTTTCGCGGCTCATTTTGTCGCCGCGTAGGGCGAAATTCGTCGTTCGCTCCAATTGTGTTCCTAGCATTAGGGTAACCAGACACACCTGATATCAAGGTAGGGCTATGAAACCATATGATTTCAACATTTCAACGTATGCATCGACAAAATCTAGAGTTTTTGTACCGAAATAAACAATAAACCATAAGAGATGTATAGAACATGTTTTCGCGGTTTTAAATTATTTATTCAAAATAAATGAAACAAGTTGTTTGATTTTTTTATTGTTTTGATAGTAATTCTGACATTACAAGCCAAACAGGTAGACCTCTATACTTGTAATTTTTTCAAAGTTGACCTACCTTCTCTTCATTGTACCATGATTTCACCTGCATATTTTATTTTGGGATTTTTTAGCTGTCATATTAAGGGAAATTTTATGCCATGCGGCTAGAGTTGCCAAGATATAATAGAACTTGGAAAATTTCCTGTACTATAATACAGTTAGTCCGAGCGTTACAACTTATGATTCAATGGACAATGGTAGAAGAATACAAGTAGTCGCATCGACACAGATGCTGGGACAATGGACAGTCAAACCCATTTTAAAATTGAATATTTTAAATGAAAAAATATTAATTTATGTAAAAATTGTTCAAAAATACAGATCAACTACCTACAGATAACTACCTACAATTGACGTCGTATAAGAAAACATATAAAAATCTACTTATTTTTTTTTTTTTAACAAAAAAACATTTAGCAATATTTGATATATAAATGTTCCCAAGCTTTGATGCATCTCTTTGCATTCTACGATTCTTCTCGGTTTCAAAATCCAACTTTGAGATCCTACTTGTTTAGACTAGTTTATGATGTATGATGTAATTATCAGTCAGCAGACATTTGTTTACGTATACAGACGTGCTTTTTATTCACTAAAGAATTTTGTTAAAAAATAATTGGTTGGAAATCAGGTATGAAAAGAATTGATGTTTTAATTCAAGGTTTTCTCAAATGTTTCTATCGGCAGTGAAGTCAACATATGTTTTTTCTGTGAAAAATGTGCAGACAAATTATTATCGAATATATTGTTTGCAATTATTATTTAAGTGATATATATTTAGAATATTTATCTCCATATTTTTTAATCTATAATTAATTTAAGTTTCTGCCACAATCATTGATTTTGAAAATATTTTGTTTTTATTTTTCAAAACAACAGCTATATATACACAAAATTGGCAGAAGTCGAACATAATTAGAAAAAATTGTAATCAGCTATCCACCATGGAACGAACAAAAAATGTAAAAAAAAATTGACATTAAATCTGTTTTTTAAAATTTGCAGGAACATCTTGTAATAGTGCCTTACAGTTGGTACATAGAAATGTTAAGACATCGCTAGAATTTAATATTTTAAAAAAATTCGAACGTATAAGAAAATATTTGAAAATCCATATATTTTTAAATATTTTTGACATATCAATGTTACAAACGTTGATTCATCTACCCATGGTAGAAATACCAGGTAGCAAAGCAAAGCAACTTTTGTTCGAACTTGATATGTCAAAATTGTAAGCTAGGCGAATTTACTTGACATATAAAATTTGAGGCAAATTGTTCTGCACCAATCAGAACATTTAATTTTGAAACGTTGAAGAATTTGGTTTATTTTTCAATTTCTATTAAAATTTGCAGGGAAATGTTGTGTTGCTGTGACTCGTACAGTTTAGGCCGGTCCTCGATATAAGAGAACTCGATAAAAGCAAATGGTATATAAATATTGGGGTGAATACCGCGTGGAATGATAATCTCAGTTGGAACAAATTCAAAAAGAATTCGGAGAACTCAAAATAAGGCAAGAAATCATCAACCCATCAAAAATGTACGCACTATATGGTGGATTTGTATAAACTTTTTGTGCGATGTGATAGTAGAAATTTACAAAAGTTTCAGCCCCAGATAGCGGATTTTTTCAATACACAATTCGTGAAATTTGAAAGAATCTAGAGTTCTTCACAACATCAAAACTTGGATTTTTAAATATTTGCAGTTCTCAAATTTTGAAAGAGTTTCGGGGATTTAAAGAAAATATCCGAGCCCCAAATCATGAATTTAAAAAAAATTCTTCCGGCGTTAAATCATAGATTCTAAAGAATATTTCCTAGTCCGACATTGTTGAATTTTAAAGAACTATTTCATGAGAGTAATAATTAATTTCTCAAAATTATTGTTTTTCAAATGAATCGAATTTGATGTCTTTAAGAATTCAAGTCGGAGGAATTTAAGATATATAAAATCACTGAACGTCCATATGTCTTTAATTTAAGTTTAGTCAAATAAACAATTTTCAAATTGGCATCATAAAAATGCAGAATATTACACTATTTGTTTCTATCTCAAATTAGATTTTATAAAAATGATACGTTCGCCTTTAAAAATATGCAGAATCATGTGAAAGCTCTGGAACTTCATCTTCTGAAGCTTCTATATCTTAAATTGTGGCCTTAAATAATGAAAACACAAATAGACGGTCGGACGGACATCGCCCAACCGACTCCAAATGTCTAATACGGATTTCATCCAAAAGATCTAAAGTCCAAAACCATTATTTCGATAAGGCACATTTTGACCGTATCAAAAGGTATATAGCCGATGTAGTCATTTGGCTGAGAGTATTCTAAGTTTATTTATTGTTACTGTTTGAAGTGTTAATTTTGGTAACGTTTCTCTATGGCGAATTCAAATGTTAACAATTTTTTTGACATATCAAATTGATACCAGCTGGTGTGAAAGGGTTACCTTGTAATTCTACCATGCATCTACCTGTATTCTTCTACCCACTACAGCCGTTTCGTCCGATAATATCGATAGAAACAATATATTCCCTTTTAAAATAAAGTATCGATACTATCGACATCGATTGTTTGTCACCGCTATTATGATTATTTAATAAATATTTGTAGTGTGAAGAATCGGTTGGAATTTCATCAGTTGCCTCTGAAACATAAAGCTTAGGGAAATTATTAATAGGAACAATGTTGGCACTTCGCACCGCATTACGCTGTAATTTTGCAGCCCCCAAGCTTGCTCGAAATACCACAACTTCTTTCAAGATCGGTCATTTTTGTACGTCACAATCTGTGGCAAATGTTGCTGTTCGAAATGTAGTAACATTTCACATACCATCTCAACCAGCTTTACTAAATGGTCAAGTAATCCAAAGAAGACAATATGCATCAAATACGAGGAAAGATGATACCGATACAGAACCTATGCAACGGGTTTACTACGGTTCTTTGGCACCAAGAATGAAAGCAGTCAAATTTTTCTCCCTGACTACCAGTTTAGCCGGCCTGGCTGCCCAGCCTATATTAATGGAACAGGGTATGAAAATGGGAGGCACAGGAATGGCTGTATTCTTGTGTGGATTTGCTGGTTTCTTTACATTTGTCACACCGTTCCTGTTACATTTCATCACAAAGAAATATGTTACAGAGATACATTATAATCCACAGACCGATGAATATGTAGCCACAACAATATCAATTATTTTGCAAAAAATTAAGGTATGATATTTTATATTCTTCTAAATTAAATAAATAATAAGTTTGTTTGCTTTTCCAGACCAAATTTAGGCCCAGTGATGTAAAAGTTCCCGAAGTTCCTGGAATGTTTACATCTTTCTTGGTTAATGGTAAACCGCTTTTTGTTGACCCTGCTTTATTCGATGACCCAGAACATTATGTGCGCATTATGGGCTATGACAAACCTATTGATTTTAAATTAGAAACGACAAATGTTTCCAATGACGATAGTAGCAAGATCAAGAAATAAATCGATGTAAAATATGAATTTTTTCATTTCTCTGTAGGAGAAGAGGGGGTTTTGTTTGTTTACATTTCTGGTGGCATGTGTATGAACAGCTGTTTGCCATGTGATGGTTACGGAGTAGCCATATTGGCAGATAATATTTTTATTTCATATAACTTTCCGCGGCTATTGAATGTATGTTTCCAGCTGTTTGCGTTGTCCTCAAGTCTCATTCGTAAACAGCATGTACTCGGTGTTTTGCTTTCTCTATATTTTTCATTGGGCATTCCTTTTTGCCTTTCTTATTTGTTTCGTTGGGGACGTCTTTCATTTGGGTTGCATAAACAAAAGGTTAGGTTTCTAGGTGTGCATCATCCGTATATACGAACAACTTTCGGGACAGACATTTAATATAATTTAAAATTGTATTACTCATATTAACCATGACCGGGGATTTAAAGATTGTACTAGAATTTAGGTATTGGAAAACTTATTCAATGCGAAGGAAGCTTTAACCTCTGTATGTTTCTTATTTCCTTCCCATCTAGTGCTGGAGCTGAGTTGTTATTTGACAACATCAAAAAACGTGAAATCACCTTGCCCTCAACAGAAAAATGTAAAAAACAATGTTTGTGGTGTCGATTAACTTTATTAAATTCTGTTTTATTCCAGGGACTATACGTAACTTACTGAAATGGATGAAAGAAAATATATTGCGAGAACGACCTGAACTGTTCATTCAAGGAGATACCGTGTAAGTAAATTTACGTTCCTCATTACTATACCGAAAGAGAATGTGTGTTCAAACAAAAAAGTTCCAGTGCTCAAAGTTGCTAAGATTATTATCGGGAAATTTAGAGAATATATAATTCCTCAAGGCAGATTTTCAATAATGTAAAGAATTTTGAATGTGATTTCAAATGGAGAGGATACATAAACAGCTTGACATCGTTGCATGGCATATTTAGTGAAAGATTATAAAGGAATGCTCGAGACGCACATGATTTTTGATGTAGTTGTCCTTATAATTTGACATTTATATGATATGTAATGATGCCAAGCTTCCTATGATCCCCACTTTCAAAAATTATGTATGGCTATAATTATAATAATTATATTTCACGAGAAGTAGTTTTTAATACTTTGCACATACATACCTACTAAATCAGTATCTTATATATACGTTTCAAACTTGCAGTCGACCAGGAATTTTGGTGTTAATCAATGATACCGATTGGGAATTACTGGTAAGTTTTTTTTTCTAATATTGTTATTAAAATTCTTCTAATTTTCTCAATTTTTAGGGTGAATTGGACTATGAACTGCAACAGAAAGATAATATTCTATTTATTTCTACATTGCATGGAGGATAGACGAGAGAATCAGAATCTGTACTATAAACTATAAATGTTAATTATATTCTTGTAATTACTGTGTTTTTAATATTTTGTAATTTGTAAGTTTTTGTATTTTATGTAATATTAAAAAAATCAAAGGAAAAAATTTTGCAAAAAACATTTACGTTTATTTTCCAACATTTTCAGAGGCACAACTACGCAGGATATTTGATTAACGAACTCACTTGCACAAATTTTACATCTGCTGATTCGAATTTTTTTGATGATAGGCTGAGAGAGCATTATCGTCTCAGCGACATAATTAAAAATATATTAAACTAAAATGTTAAAAATATCAACCACGATATTTGCATTTGTAGGATATTTGCCATTGAAAAACTATTCCATAATAAAATGTAGGTGTACATTACATGACGACAACGAAATTCTTGAACAACGATGGAATGTTTTTTGAAGTCGAGTAGGTCAACTGAAAACAGCAGCATGTTGACTATGCCAAAGCGTGCTGGGAGCCACCTGCATAAAAAGACAAAACTAACATTCTGTTGTCTATATATTCAATAGTCTATGGTGGCACAAATCACGATCACGAGATGATTAAAAATAAATTTGTATCTGACACACCTTGTACTTTGACAATAAAAAAGTGAACAATCTGGTAACGTTAAAAATAATGTTTGAAAGTCATTGGTAATTGAAAAGAATCGCACGAATTTAAGTGTTTATAATTCACATATGCTTTTTCCTTATACGAATGAGTATATTAACGTCGAAAAAGAAGCAGAAGTGGCGTGGCGTTTTAATGAAGAAACATTTTTAACCCTTAATTTCTCATGTGGGCCTTTGCCTTTGGTAAAGGGACGTAATTCTGATATGACGCCAAATTCTTATATTTTCTTAAGGGAAATTATTGTTATGCTATCTATGGAAAATTAAATCTTAAAGTTAAGAGACATCTGTAAACAGGTGCCACAAGAGTTGTTAATTCCAGAATGTATAGCAATCATAGACGATCGTGGTCTAAGTTAGACGTGCATATAAAATAAATTCTAATGCGATTTACGCTCAACTGACGAAGATTTTTACTTTTTTATACCCTCCATCATATATAGTATGGAGGGTATATTAAGTTCGTTATTCCGTTTGTAACTCATCGAAATAATCATTTTAGACCTAACAAAGTACAAATATTCTTGATCAGCGTAAAATTCCAAGACAATTTAGCCCGGTCCGTCCGTCCGTCTGTTGTAATCACGCTAGAGTCAAAACGAATAAAGATAGGTAGCTAAAATTTTGCAAAGATCAGTCTTTTGTCTGCAGACATGTCAAGTTCGAAGATGGGCTATATCGGTCCACGATATCGAATAGCCCCCATACAACGGTACCCGCCGATATTCGGTATTTTGATGATTTAAGCCACATTTTCCAATGGAATTGTCTTAAAATCCACACAAAAAGTTCTTTCTGAGTAGTTCACCCTCTGGAAGAGAATTCTTAATATAGGTCCACGATATCGCATAGCCTCCATACAACCGTACCCCTCGATATTCGGTATTTTGATTATTTCAGCCATAATTCCAATGGAATTGTATGAAATTCCACACAAGGAGTTCCGTACCGCTCGATATTCGGTATTTTGATCATTTGGGCACATTTTACAATGGCATTGTGTGAAATTCCCCACAGGAGTTCTTTCTAGGGATTTCACCCTCTGGAAGGTAATTGTTTATCCACGATATCCTGTAGCCCCCCATACAACCGTACCGCCCGATATTCTGTATTTTAATCATTTTGGGCATATTTTCCAATGGAATTGTCTGAAATTTCACACTAGGTGTTCTTTCTGACTACTTTATCCTCTGCAAAATATTTGTTTACATAGGTATAGTCCCCATACAACCGTAACCTCCGATATTCAGTATATAGATAACTTTAGGTACATTTTCCAATGAAATTGTCTGAAAATAAATACAAGGAGTTCCTTTTGAGTACTTAACCACTTGGAAGAGAATTGTCTATATAAATCTACAATATTGTATAGGCCATGGTACAATGAAGAGAAGGTAGGTCAACTTTGAAAAAATTGCAAGTATAGAGGTCTACCTGTTTGGCTTGTAATGTCAGAATTAGTATCAAAACAATAAAAAATCAAACAACTTGTTGCATTTATTTTGAATAGATAATTGAAAACCGCGATAATTGGATGAAAGGTCAACACTTCTTTTCAAAATCATGTACTATATATCTCTAAAGGATTATTTCGCAACAAAAACTCTAGATTTTGTCGATGCATACGTTGAAATAAACATTTTGAAAACACCCGAATTTGAATGTTTTCTGAACAATTTTTTTGTTATTGAAAAGAAAACACATACATAAACATAAAAGATGACATATTAAGCCAAGAAAATAAAAAAAAATTAAAATCATATGGTAGTTCTGCCCTACCTTGATATCATTGTACCATGGTATAGGCCCCTTACAACGGAACCACCGATATTCGATATTTTGATGATTGTAGCCTAATTTTTCAATTAAATTGTCTGAAAACCCACATAAGGATTTTCTTCAGAGAACTTCATCCCCTGGAAGATTATTGTCTATATAGGTCCACGATATCGTTTATCCCCATTATAACGGTTCCTCCCTATATTTTTGATGATTTTAGCAACATTTTTCAATGAAATTGTCTAAAAATCCATACTAGAAGTTCTTTCCAAGCACTTTAATCCCTGGAAGAGAAATATCTATACAGGTTCAAGATATCGTATAGCCCACACACAACGGTATACCCATGGTACAATGAAGAGAAGGTAGGCCAACTTTGAAAAAATTGCAAGTATAGAGATCTACCTGTTTGGTTTGTAATGTCAGAATTATTATAAAAACAATAAAAAATCAAACAACTTGTTGCATTTATTTTGAATAAATAATTTAAAACCGCGAAAACTGAATGAAAGGTCAACATTTCTTTTCAAAATCATGTTCTATATATCTCTTATGGTTTATTTCGCGACAAAAACTGTAGTCTTTGTCGATGCATACGTTGCAATAAGCATTTTGAAAACACCCGAATTTGAATATTTTCTGAAATTTTTTTTATTGAAAAGAATACGCACACATAAACAAATGAAGTTGACATATTAAGCCAAAAAAAAATAAAAAAATTGAAATCATATGGTAGTTCTGCCCTACCTTGAATTCATTGTACCATGGGTATACCCCGATATTTAGAGATTTTAGGGACGTTATTCGTTATACCCTACAACACTATGTGTTGGGGGTATTATAAGTTTGATTGGGCCAAAAATTATGTAACACCTCGAAATATTAATTTCCCCCATAGGAAAGTATATATGGATATTCCTATCTCGCCGAGCTGAGTCGATCTAGCTATGTATATCCGTCCGTCCGTCTGTCCATGTTAATTTGTAATCACTTTACAGGTCGCAATTATTGCCCGATCCACACGAAATTGAAAATAGAGGTGGGGTTAAGATCAGAATAGAACCCTATTTCTTTTGGAGATGATCGCATAATATTTAGGGGTTGAAATGGATCATAAACTGAAAAAAATCCTGATTTTGCAGTTGCTTTACAGTTGCTCGCAATTATAGTCCGATCGAAGCGGAAGTTAGCATGGGGTTAGAGTTTAGGGCTGGACAGAAGCCTTCCAATTTTGATGGTCATCTGGTAATATTTAGTGGGTGAAATAGACCATAACATTTGTGTTTAATAAAAGTAAAATTTTCCATTAAACCGCGAATATTTTTAATCCCGAAATCACAAATAGACGAACGGGTCATAAAAAGATGCAAGTAATGATGTTAATATAGATTTTGTAGTATTTTGTGACATTTTTTATATTTTCATATTTTTTATCACATGCGATTTTTTCAATTTGACTCATAATATTGAAGTGTATATTTTGTAATATTTTTTATCTTACAACACAGGTTGGGGTTATATATACAGATTACAATTATCGTCCGATCCTCACGAAAATTTTCACAAGGGTAGACTTAGGCTCAGAAGGGCTAGACCTATTGTTTTCAAAGATGTCCGCAATATATTTAGGGGTTGAAATGGACCAAAAACTAAAAATGTTCCTGATTTTGCAGCACTTATAACATTAACATTAACCAACATTACTTACAGGTGATATCCAAAATACACAAAAATGCGAACTGCTGGCTTTTTATGCTGATATAGCCAAATATCGTAGGGAAGAAGTCTAGCATTTAGATTGACCATTGGATTATATTTAGCTGTAAAATGGACCACAACAATAAAGAGCACAACGGAGTTCGTAAATATAGGGCAAATGTCACTGGTGAAAATGCTTGGCAGTGCTCCGTGACATAATCTCAAAAGCGAAATCTTCCAAAATGGATTTGGACATAAGAGGGCCTCTAACATGTTGTAGTGTTGTAGGGTATCACATGGTCGGCCCCGCATGACTATAGCCTTTGCTTACTTGTTTCAAATTGTTGTTGTTTAAAATTCGTAATGGGTACTATAGAATATGACAAAAAATTGCTTATGCAGGTCCACGTCTTCGTATAGCCTTCATATAATGGTACATCCCAATATTCAGTATATTGATGATGTTAGCGACATTATACACTGGAGTTGTTTCAAATTTCGTATTTAGAGTTTGTAATGGCAACTAAAGTCTATAATAGAAAATTATCTATGCAGATCCAGGCCTTCGTACAAGCCCTATATATCAGTACCTCCATATATTCTGCATTTTGATGATTTTTGTTCCATTATTCACGGATTTTTTTTCAAGTTTCGTATTTCAATATTGTAATAACTTATGACAAAAGTTGCAGGTTCACGTCTTCGTATAGACCCCAATATAACGACTATATTCAGTATTTTACGGATTTTAACAGAATTTTTGGTGAATGTTATTTTTTTTTTAAATTTCCAAATTCGTTCCACAAATCATCATGTACAATTTTCAGCCTTAAATCCCAAATCTTTCGCCAATAGAAAGAAAGCAGTATTATAGATTATTATTAACTTGATAAATTGCAATTTATTTAATAGTATGTATAATTTTATTTGTATATAAAACACTCGTTTAAAATTATATCTATATTTCAAATAGGGTATATCGTTTTTTTAATATTGATTTTCGCTTGATTTGTTTCGAATGTATGGTGTATAACTAGAGACTTATCGATGTAATTTACATATTGAATAGAAATAAACAAAAGTTGTGATACAATAAGAAATATCTTTAGTAATAAATAACAAAAGTACACACATACATATATATGCTTTAGAATATTTATAAACAATTATGAAATTAATAAATACACGTTCTTTTCACTCTTCCAGCATTAAAAATTAACAATTATTGGGTGTTATGACAATAAAATATGTATATTAAGAAACATAGAAAGAGAGAAACAAGCTCAAAATGTTGAACAGATATATTTATTATATGTAGTTTAAAGTTATTCTATAAATAGAAAGAAAATTTCGACCACGGTACTACAAATCGACATACATAAATATTGTAATGATACTTGTATATATGAATGTTGATTACAATAAGCTCACCTATATCCATTTAGAGTAAATTGTATATGCTGGGAATATAACTCTAAGTAGTTAGGCTCTGGGACTTTCGGTTAACATCATCGATATAATATTTATTGCATTTGGAAGTTATTAATCATTTAATTTTGTAGATTCCTAGTTGAGAGTTTCCTAAACTATTATTAAGGCACTTGTTTCTTGGATTTGATATTCAAACATACAAAGGAAACCGCATCGAGACTAAATTGAAAAAGTAATTGCTTATAAAAAACTCTGCAGCGTATCAAAATGCATTTACTTTCAAAATTTTTATTTATAAACTGAATTTTGCTTTTATAGCACCGTGTTGTAAATCTTGTTTGTGTATAGAAATTGATGGCTTAAATAAAAGTTCAACACTGTTAATGTTGTTTGCGGCTTTTACGATTCTTGATCATTACAATCTCCATGCTTAGAATCCTTTAAATGCTGCAACTGTTGTTCGTTTTTTCTATTCATTGTAAATGTATGGCATTTGAGAAGGAATTTATTACCGCCATTATTGTTGCCCACCGGTGAAACGAGTATGGCATCTGTTGGATTTGATGTCCAGGTTGTTATTAAATCATTATTATCCTGATCGGGTGTCATGCATATATCAGACAAAATACCACTTTCTGCATAGCATACGCAACATATAAGGTAGATTATAAATATTAATTTGAGTTATTGGCATAAATGTTTCAAGAGTTATATGTGTAATAATCCATTTCATAAGGGTAATATAGAATATAGATTCAAACATTAAATAAAATATCATTATACCAAACCATTTAAAGAGAAACTATTTGAAATATATTTTATTTACAGTTTTATTAAAACATGTACAAGTATAAACAGAGATAAGATTCCCTACACTACATACATGCATAATTTTTACAAAGTAAGATTTGTTAATACCAGAATGTGTGAATAGCATAAAAGACAGTGCCCTAAATCAGACGTGCACATATAAAATATTATTTTCGAAAAATAGACCCGAGACGACTCTAATGTAATCTGCAGTCGACAAAAAAAGGAAATCAAAGAAACCAACTGAACGAATATTTTGAAGAAAGATTAAAATATAACCACTACGGAAAATCAAAAAGAGCTCCGATACCAAATATCTTTCTTGTGGAGTGCATATTACGCATGCGAGGGACTTAAAATCCCAAATCGGATGAAACATATAAATGGGCTATAGCTATAACCGAACCGCTAGTCTCTAAACTTGATGTACTTGCTTCTAGACTGAATTCGGTGGGATGTACCTAAATTCAGGTCATTTGGACTTATATTGGTCATTTGGTTCTTAATTAACCCGAAGTCGGTTGAAGATATATGGAAGCTATATCTGAATCTGATCCGATTATGATCAATTTCAATACGGTTCGTCCTTGGGCCAAAGAAAATTTAATTTAATAATAAATGCGACCTGCATTTTGTTCACAAGAATACATGGACGGACGGACAGATGAACTGACATGCATAAATCGACTCAGAAAGTGATTTAAGAGATCCTCAAAAGTAACTATGGGTCTATTTCGCTTCCTTCTCCATATTACCATCATGTGGTGTAGGGTATAAATATCGATAAAAAAAAATACCAACACAAAAAGCGCGCGAATCCTGGTCGTTGTATATATCTATTCCAAAACTAGCCCTTGACTTTTGTTGGCAAGCAGTTCCCTCAATAATGTTATATATTTCAATGATAATTGTAACATTTTAGTCGAACATATAAATATATTGAATAAATAAAAACGGAGGGTCCTTTTGAAATGTGTGGAACAGGAAATTATTGTATGAAAATTAATAAAAAAAATATTTTTGGTACTCTACAAAATTTGCGGCAAGAAGTTCGTGATCTACCGACAATTAAACAAATAATTAAAGTTATATAAATGTATACAAATTAGCTAAAAAATACTAATACAGCATGCAAGACGAAAAAAATGCAAACACAACATTTTATATACACACCAAAATTAAAACACATTATTTACAACAAATTATTTACAAACAATGAAAAGTTTTGTAATGTGCATATTAAAAACAATAATAATTTAAATCAAAATCAATACCCATAGATAGTTGGCTGACAATGGTGGTTGAACGTTTGTGATTATTCCGAATTCTGGTACCCGTACCATGGCTATGGCAAACACTGTGGTGATGGTGATTTGAGGATTTGTTATTCTCATGTTGATCCAAAGTCTGAGATTCATTAATCAGTTCCAAACCTATACCAGGCTGATAATGATGAGAGGTATTGTGAACTGAGGAGTTCGATGATGTGGTGGATGATTTACTCAATGACGAACTGCTGGTACCACTTGACAAAGAACTTTCCGATATTAGGGATGTAGGTCGACGCGATGTCTTCATTTGATCCGTATTGAGGCCCACAAATGAGTGACGTAATTTTGGGGCTGAAATAAAAGGTACACATCTTACATAATTCCATTTTATGTCATTTACACTTACCTTTACCCAATTGACTGATGGTAATCGATCTGTCATTTATTTGATTGTTACTGGGTCGTATGTCCAGACATGGTTTACTACCAATACCCATCGAAGACATCTCAGCAAGGCGAATTTCTGTATAAGATATACATATTAGAAATTTTAAAATAACCTACATTTTTTGATTGGTTTCAAATACCTCGATTTCTTTTCGCTTGGGTCCATAATAGTTTTGAAATCTCTTCAGTCCATGCATTCTTTATATCCTCTGACATGCACTGTAAGGTCCATGTATCTTCGGGTTTACGTTTTCTAAACCAAATTTCAAATTTGGTTGGCGAATCACCCACATGGGCTGTTAAACCAATATCCGAAGTCTTAATACTATTCTTGTAAATATATATATCAAGATTCTGTAGAGAATGATGTCAGTTTTTAGAAATTCAAATATTTATGTTTGCATTTTACCCACCTTATGGTCGGGAAATCTTCGAGATTTACTGAATAATACCAATTCTTCGAATAGAAATATATGTCTCAGAGTTTTCTTACCACCTCGTCCCTGCCATACTAGAAATTCATTTTGTCTTAACAGACGACCCTGTTCTTTGAGATTGACATCACAGTCACGTAATGAGTCCATGGCAAGTAGATCATTTCCATGCCTTAATTGAAATTTGACCATTTCTTCGGCTTTCTGAAGCTCTTCAACGTCGGCAGCTATCTCCTGAAGTGCAGGGCCCTAGAAAACGACAAAGTGTTTAAGAAAAAGAACGTTTTATTGAATATTTATTCGCATACCTCCACGTTGCTGCAGGCCTTAACCAATTGCTGCAGTAGAAGAGCATATTTTCCCATGCGTTGCACGGGCTTTAATAGATACGAGGCCAAATCCATTTTATCATTTAATTCAATTTGTTTCGACTGTAAAATAATAATAATAATAATCATAATAGAAATTTTAAAGGAAAAGTGCGGAAAAAACTTCAAGATTTGTTATTATAATTTCTGCAAATTCCAGTTTGTTGGTGGTCATAAATATGAGTCTCCGATTTCTTTCGGCACCTCCCGATATTCGGTATTTTGATGATTTTAGCGGCATTATTAACCGGAATTGTTTCAAATTTGGTATTTGAAGTTCGTAATGGATACTACAGCCTATACCATATAACGATACCTCCCGATATTTGGTATTTTGATGATTTAGCTACATTATTCACCGAATTTTTTTCAAGTTTCGCATTTGAATATTGCTTATGACAACAGTTGCCTATGCAGGTCCACGTTGTCGTATAGACCCTAATATAGCGACTACATTCTGTCTTTTTAAGATTTGAACAGAATTTTGAACGGAACGTAGAAGAACAAAGGTCAAACCAATTTTTGAATTGAAAATGTTGAATGAAAAATTAATTAAATTTGAAAAACGCGAATTATAATAACCTCCGAATGACGTCGAAAATATTTAAAAATCTACTCTTATTTGAAAAAAACATTTAAATTTTGTTGACATATAAATGCTCCCAAACGTTGATGCATCTACCTGAATTCTTCAAAGTTCGGCCCGGCCGGAACTTACAGCTTTTTACTTGTTTAAACTATATTCTCTTCTAGTCTTGCCTAGCAAAAATTATTAAAGGCAATAATCACTAAGGAAAAAAGGCAATAATCACCTTAAAAAACGTCGTTCCGTATTCACTCATAAGGGCATCACTTTTTGGTTTGTTTTTATTATAGAGTGCATATAAATAGAATTTTGATTCCATTTGCAGGAAGGCAGCACCAACTTTCAGAGGATTATTCTCGTAACGTTCCAATTCGGCAAGGAAATGATTATTATGGAATTCAAATATTTTCTCAATATTTCCAAAGATTACATTACGTTGCCCGCGTAACGATTGTGGAATATCATCACGTAACAATTCATCGATATAATTCTCAATGACATAGTAAAGTGAACGTACATAATCACGTTCCGTGCCAATCATTTCGCGCATGATCAAGAGGAGCGTTCTGAAACACATAAGATATTGGATGAATTGAGTAAAATATTGGTCAAATACATATTTATTTTTTAAATTTCACTGATTTATGGGAAATATTTACTTTTGTATTTTGGGATCTAAGCAACTCAGTTCTTCTAATTTTGGCAATTCAAAAGTGGAGGCAAAACATTGCAAATGTTTATTTGCCTCCAGTGGTGAGTGTATATTCATATAGCATTTAGATGGCTGCTCGAAGCATTCATCATCGAGTTCATCACTAAAAAAAAACAGATTTCAATTAGTCTGAGTTATGCCCTTTGCTAATCTCAATTTTTCACTCACTGTTTTTTATATAAATGTTCAGATTCTTCATTCAGACTTTGGCATGAACATATTCGCGTTAATTTCGGATTCCCCTCACAACGTTGACACTCGCCAACGCCCGAGTCGGCTATTTTCGAGCGTCCCTCTTCTTCGTCATTATCCATTAGGTCATCTTCCATATAGTCTAGATTTCGACTGTCACGCCAGCATTGACAAGCGCTGGGACTCTCATATGAACCGGTACCATAACTACTTGATCTGTGGCATAATAACCGTGTTTTCTGTTGCTGATCCGGTGTACTGCTTATCATTTGTGACGACAGCATAATATTTGGGGTTCTATCTAGGCTATGGTGATTATTGTTATGACTTAAATTTAAGGTTTCCGGTTTACGTTTTCCCTTGTCACGATATTTCTCGAGCAGACCTTTAACACCATATTTTTCCACCAGTCGTTCCATTTCCAGTTGGGAATTTTCATCTTGATTACTTTGATTTAATAGCTGATGGAGACGTGTAAATCCTTCTATGCGTTCACGGGCCGATTCTAATTTCTCAGCAAAGCTATCCAAGGCCTGGCGTAGATGTAAGGCACTTTCTTGTAATGGATCCATATTGGCGGCCGCAACATGTAAATCGCGACCTTTGGCCAAATTTTTCTAAAATAAAAGATTTTGTTAGAGATTGTTTGATACACATTAAGGAAGTGTTAGGCATACCATCGATATAAAGTAATATTTTTCAAATTCCTGTTCACGTTCCTTCATCGGTGTATCCCAATCCAATTCCATGTTAATGAAGCGTTGTAAACATTCACTGCCATCGTTGGTTATCCATGATGTTACCTGATAATAGAAAAAAAAAAACAAAACATGAAAACAGTAGTAAGACAATGATTGAGACAGAATGCATAGGATCTAAGGCAAGAATTCCTTGAAACATTGAAATCTTATTCATCTTAAATCTTACAGACAAACTCAATTCAAATCAGTTTTTATACCCTACCCTTTCGGGTTAATTGTGCATCAAATGACCAATATCAGTGCAAATGACCTGAAATTTGGTACATCCGATCGAAATCAGTCTAGAAGCGAGTGCATTAAATTTGGTGAAAATCGTTTTAGACACAGATATAGCTGCCACATATATGTTTCATCCGATTTCGTGTTTAAGTCACTCGAATTCGTAATATGACCTCCACAAGAATGATATTTGGTAGCAGATATCAGATACAGCCCAGAAATACCTCTGCAAAATTTATCGAGATCGCTTCAGATTTGGAAATAGCTTCCATATATATCTTTATCAGATATCAGGTTTATTGTGCACCAAATGGCCCATATCAGACCAAGTAACCTGAATTTTGGCATATCCGACCGAATTAAGTCTAGAAGCGTGTGCATTAAATTTGGTGAAAATCGGTTTAGATATAGATATAGCTCCCACATATATGTTTCGTCCGATTAGGTCTTTAAGTCCCTTACATTACTAATATGCACTCCACAACCTTGATATTTGGTCCCAGATATCAGTACAACCCATCAGTTTTAAATTTTATCGAAATCGTTTCAGACTTGAATATAGCTCCAATATATATCGTCGGCCGATTTTGGGTTAATTGAGCACTAAATGACCAATATCAGACCAAGTAACCTGAATTTTGGCACATCCGACCGAATTCAGTCTAGAAGCAAATACATCAGTCAATTTAGTGAATATCGGTTCACATATAGCTTTATATGTTTCGTCCGATTAGGTCTTTAAGTCCCCCACATTCGTAATACGCATTCAACAACAATGATATTAGATACCAGATATCCTATACTGCTCGGAAATAGCTTCCATATATATCCTTAAACCGATTGGCCCAAATTGAGTGAATTTCGGGACGTACGTTTCCATTTGGTGGAACTCGGTTCCGATATATTTGTTTAATATAATCCTTCTCGAAGTGAGTTCCTACACTTTATAGCAATGTTATTTGGTATAAAAGATTTAAATGTCTCTGTCAAATTTAGTGAAATCGATTCATAATTGGATATGCCTCCCATTTATTGGTTTCTTCTGAAAAAAATAATAATAATAATAATACATAATAATAATAATAATAATAATAATAATAATAATAATAATAATAATAATAATAATAATAATAATAATAATAATAATAATAATAATAATAATAATAATAATAATAATAATAATAATAATAATAATAATAATAATATTATTATTATTATTAATTATTAATTATCTTTATTTATGTCACTGGCCCCTCTTTCCACGTCTCTGATAGATGCAAAATGTATTTCCTTGTAAATGCCAATATTATTCCGTTCTATTGAAATTACAAATCAAAGATTAAATTTACACACAACAACAATTAAAGAAACATTAAGTTCGGCCGGGTCAAACTTTTAATACCCTCCACCTTAGGGTAAAAAAAACAGAAGAAATGTGGCAAAAACCATTAAAATGCCGATTATGAGGAGGTACTGTTATATGGGGCTACACCAAAACGTGGACCTATAATTACAATGTTTCGCCACGAACTAGGACCCATTATGACCCACAAATACCAATTTTTAGACAAATCAGTAAAAACATGTGGCAAAAACCATCAAAATACCGAATATCGGGAGGTACCGTTGTATGGGGGCTATACCAAATCATGGACCCATACATGCAATGTTTCGCCACCGGAGCTGTAACCCTTTATGACCAACAAATACCACTTTTCAGACAAATCCGTGAAAAAATGTGGCAAAAAAACTACAATACCGAATATCGGGAGGTACCTTTGTATGGGGGCTATACCACAACGTGGACCTATACATGGAATGTTTTGCCACTCGCTCAGGGACCCGTTATGACCTACAAATACCAATTTTCAGACAAATCCGTGAAAAAACGTGGCATAAATCATCAAAATACGGAATATCGGGAGGTACCGTTATATGGGGACTATACCAGAACGTGGGCCGATATATGTAATTTTCAATACCAACCATCCTAGACACAATGCAAATAGCTCTGCTAATAATGTGGGCTGTATCGTGATTTCAACAGACAGACAGACTGACAGACGGACAGACAGACAGACGGACATCGTTAAATCGACTTAGAATTTTATGCTGATTATGAATATATATACTTTATGGGGTCTAAGACGAATATTTAAGGATGTTACAAACGGAATGACAAAGTTAATATACCCTTCTTTCCAAGGTGGAGGGTATAATTATAAATTTCTATGTCGTTGTCGATATCATAAGTTGATAATTTTTGTAAACAAAAGTAAGTTAATTTCATTTGTAGACATGTATAATTGTATGTATCAAAATTAGAGCTGACAATACCGTAGATAAACAAAGATATAGACGTAGAAATGCTCCGATCGAGTTTTTTTCCAATGCCCTGTTCATTCTCGAATGCCAATAAATATTTTGTATAACTATTTAATTAACAAAAGACTGTGATTAGTTTGAATGTAAATGTACATCCTTAAATAAAAATAGGCAAGAAAATCTTCAGTTTTCCCAAAAATCGTCCACGAATAATTACATTTGTTTGGTTTGAGTCACTTGACCTTTTTGGCCTATGGCAATATTATTGATATACTCCCCATGAAATATTGCAATTATAATATTGGAATTTGTTTAATGTACGTCCGATATTTCTGCGAATTCTGACATTTTGATTACCTAGGCTGAGACAGAGAGAAAATTCGTAAACGGCCTATTTGTACAGGCGTTTATGTTTTTGCGAAATTGTGAAAATTTGACTGATTCGACATCTCTATTGTCAAATTGTTATTTTTATTTTCCGTTTGATAAGATGGAATGAGTCATTGCTCAAGACACAATATTTATAATATCTATACGTTATTTATTTTGAGGGTACATGTTTACTTGTCGCTCACATTGTTATGGATTTTTTAAATTCGACAGATTAAATCCATTTTTTCACTTGTCGAAAATTTGCAGTATTTCTGTGGGCATGTTTTTTAGTATGGAAACTACTAATCCTTACAACAATTGGCTGAGTAATGCGTTCAATTTTTAGCAAATAATAGATTGCAATAAGAGATATTAGAGTGTTGAGTCGATTAGATAAGACTAAAGAGCAAAATAATAACAGAAATTAAATAAATTAGACCTGTCAAAGACATGCTATGAATACCAGGTAGTTGAGTTTGGCCGCTTCTGGTGTTAAGATACACATTTCGAATTAAAATGTGCATGTTTTTCTCGGTTTATTTGTTATAAATTAGAACAGCAATAAATTAAAATGGTTGAAGATTTGGTAATAATTGATTTTGATTTATATAGCTATAGTGACCATATGGAGGTGTTGTAAACAAACAATTATAGACAGAGGGATGAAGTATTATTCAACTGAAGGACTGAAAACTGCAAAAAAGTGTTTTATTTGCGAAAGTAAAATTTTAGAGTTCGTTCAAATCTTAAACTTTCGTATGGATTGGTTAAAAAATAGATATACAAAAATATATATATATATGCTGCTGTACGGCTGTTTAAACAAGAGCAACATTAAAAAAATAGATTAGTTGGATGGAATAGATAAGTTGGAGGTCGTGCCTTTATAAAACATGGAATAAAAAAATGGTTTCCATAACAACACATATATGGGAATTAGACCTGAAGAGCGGAGAATTCTCAAATGAAGCTCTTCCCGAATTAAAGCAGCGAAAACATAGAAATCATAAACCTGTTTTTATACCCTACACCACAAGGTGGTCAGGGTATTATGTCTTTGTGCATTTGTTTGTAACAGGCAAAAGGAAACGAGATAGACCCATAGTTCCTTTTGATGATCAGCATAGAATCACTTTCTGAGTTGATTTATGCATGTCAGTCCGTCTGTCCGTCCGTCCGTCCGTCCGTCTGTCCATGTATTCTTGTGAACAAAATGCAGGTCGCATTTATTATCCGATTGACATGAAACTTTGCAAACAACATTTGTTTGGCCCAAGGACGAACCCTATTGAAATTGGTGAAAATCGGTCTAAATTTAGATATAGCTCCCATATATATCTTCGTCCGATTTGCCTTTTATTGTGCACCAAACGTGTAATATCAGGCCGAATAGTATGAAATTTTGCACATACAACCAAATTAGGCCTGAATATAAGTATGCCAAATTTGATCGAAATCGGTTCAGATATAGATATAGCTCCCATATATATTGTTCATCCGATTTGTTATTTTTGTTCTCCGCAGCCGTAATATGCACTCTGTAACAACAATATTTGGGTAAATATATCAAATGCAGCTCAGAAATACCTTTGCTAAATTTTATTGAGATCGGTTCAGATTTGGATATAGCTCCCATATATAACTTGGTCCGATTTACCATTTATTGTGCACCAAACGTCTAATATCTGTCCAAATGGGATGGAATTTGGCACATACGACCGACCGAAGAAGGTAGTATGCCAAATTTGGTGAAGATCGGTTCAGATATAGTTATAGCTCCCATATATATTGTTCATCCGATTTATTGTATTTGTTACCCACAGCCGTAATATGCACTCCGTAACAACGATATTCAGGGAAATATATCAAATACAGCTCAGAAATATCTTTGCCAAATTTTATCGAGATCGGTTCAGATTTGGATATAGTTCCCATATATATTTTTATCCGATTTCAAATTAATTTCGCACCAAATGGGCAATACAAGTCCGAATTTAAAAGATACAAATGCTTCGGCATATTTAGTCCTTTGAATTTTAAATTATAATATAATCATAGCGTGTATGATTAAATTCTCCCATAAAAACTTTTAATTATTAAGTGGAGCTCAACTAAATTAGCAAAGTGGTGTAGGGTATCACAAAATCGGCCCCGCCCGACTTTAGGACTTTCTTTACTGTTTTTTTTTTTGTAAAAGAACAACGGAGTTGTAGGTTGAACTAGTTCAATTTCGGCTCATAATTATAACTTGTTAAAATGCTTTTTCTGTATCTGCACCTTAACATTTTTCGGATTATTTCAGACATCCGTGCAAGAGACCGCTTTTTGTGATAAGAACAGAATTTGGCGCACTGACAGAGAAATCTGAGCGGTAAACTATGCGAACATAAAAGCCAGGAAATGAATGAATATTTCGACTTTTCCCTGCTAACTGCAACAGGAAGACTCATAATGATACCACTTTACTATCGAAATGATGAGGCAACGATCATAACCGTTAATTCAGATAACATGATAGTATTTTTATACCCTACACCACAAGTGGTAAGGGTATTATGTCTTTGTGCATTTGTTTGTAACATGGAGAAGGAAGCGAGATAGATCAATAGTTACTTTTGAGGATCATAGAATCACTTTCTGAGTCGATTTATGCATGTCAGTCAGTCCGTCCATGTATTCTTGTGAACAAAATACAAGCCGCATTTATTATACGATCGAGGTGAAATTTTTAAAACAATATTTGTTTGGCCCAAGGACGAACCCTATTGAAATTGGTGATAATCGGAACAGATTTAGATATAGCTCCAATACATATTCAACCAATTTCGGGTTAATTGTGCACTAAACAGCCAATATCAGTCCAAATCACCTGAATTTTGGCATATCCGACCGAATACAGTCTAGAAGCAAATACATCAAATTTCGTGAAAATCGGTTCAGATACAGCTATAGCTCCGATTTGGCGTTTAAGTACCTCACATTCGTAATATGCATTCGACAACAATGATATTTGGTACCAGATATCTTATAGAGCTCGGAAATACCTCTGCCAAATTTTATCAGGATTGGTTCAGATTTGGATATAGCTCCCATATATATGTTCAACCGATTGCGGGTTAATTGTGCACCAAATGACCAATATCTGCCAAAAAGTCCTACATTTTGGTACACCCGACCGAATTCAGTCTAGAAGTAAGTACATCGAATTTGGAGAAAATCGGTTCAGATATAGCTAAAGCTCCCAAATATATAATTCATCCGATTTGGTGTTTAAGACCCTCACATTCGTAATACGCATTCGACAACAATGATATTTGGTACCAGATTTCTTATAAAGCTCGGAAATACCTTTGCCAATTTTTTTCGAGAACGGCTAAGATTTGGATATAGCTCCCACATATATACGCTTAATCCGGTTTCAGGCTTATTGTGCAAATAATGACTAATATCAACCCAAATGGAGTAAATTTCCATTTTGTGCCACTTGTCTCCGATATATATTTTTTAATATAATTCTACTCGAAGTCATATCCTACACTCTATAGCAATGTTATTTGGTATAAAAGATTGAAATGTAGCTGTCAAATTTAGTGAAAATCGATGCAGAATTGGATATGCCTCCCATATATATTATTTTCTTCTGAAACCTAAATATAACTGCTCTGAAGCCAAATGTTGATAGGTGGTATGATTTACTTCAAATAAATTATTTTTTACAGAAGCTCTACTAAATATACATAGTGGTGTAGGGTATCATATAGTCGGCCCCGCCCGACTTATGACTTTTCCTTACTTGTTTGTAACTACAATTGCCATTAAGTGGATATTGATTGTAGTACACTAGCGCTAGAAGGTCGATTTGGCTTGGCTTTGAAATGGATAATAATAATAATAAAATTCCCCATAAATATTCCCGATTACACTTAAAGTTATTGTTCACTTTTACTGTTTACTTTTCTACAGTAGCAAAAATAATCAATAATTTGTTTTATGATATAATTTCCTAATACTAATAACTTCATGCCTTTTCATTTTTCTTCGATTAGAAAAAAGCAATTAGGAAATGTCTCTGTCCCAAGGAGAAACCATTGGATCCAGCCTACGCCCGTCTTATTATATTAAAATCGTATGAAACACAAAATGGTCATCGTATACTGAGTATGCCGCAACAACAGGAACTGACTTCAAATAGATTTTCCATGTGGAAATTTTGTATTTTAATGCATAAAATCTTGCACGAAGGGTATGAACAAATTCTTATAGATAGTTATGCAAATATTGCGCAATTCGGAAAATTGGCAAACTTTTGGTCGAGTCAAACAACACATCATCTGGCACAATGTATTATCCAATACTGTAAAGTTTTGCAAAGAAAAATTATATTTCATCAGACCTATCGACACATTAAAGGCAATTTTGAATGTGATTATGAAAAGGATTTAGATATCAATACAACGTGAGTAAAAAATCTTAAAACAATTTTTTTTATAAATTATTAATTTATCTTTTCTCTTCTATGGTTCAGCTTTCAGCTATGTTTGGATATGTGTGACTATTTGGAAGATCTGCTGGATCTGCAGCATCTTATATTTATTGACTTGACAACTAATCAAATTTTTCCGGATTCAAAACAAGGTTTATGTCGTTTGACAGCCTTTACAACCATTATGACAGAATGTAATTTGATGTATCAGCATTTAGTGGATGTTTTACGATTACTGCACTCACAATTGTCGCCAGATTATATTTCCGGCTTAAGTGTACGCTTTAACAATGTGATATTTATTCAACTGCGGAGATTTTATGAACAAGTTCGGTCGCTTCCCTTGTCATCAAACTATTTCGACGTACCAGTATTGCCAACGGAATCACCCATAGTAACAGGTGTATATTACACAACACCAGCCATAAATAGGAATAGTCATGAGCCAAGTGCACCATTAATAACCGATTTAGACTATTAGTTAAGATGGTGTAAATATTGAGTATGTGAATTTATATAGGTTTTAAAGGTTTTCCTTTACACATGTAATTATGTGTATATTGCATTCATAAGATATAATTAACATGAACTATATAGATATTAAAATTATATGGTCAAATTACTTTAATTTACAATTTAAATATATTAAAGCGTTTTTTATTGTTTTTGTTTATTTTGCAATCGTTCTGAAGATTTTGTGAAATATGCTCTGTGTACCACATGCTTTAGCGGCAATAACATGTATGTAAACCTTGACAACTGATATGATATGGTAAGGAGGAAATAATTTTCCTTTCTTCTAAAATTGGAAAAATAAATATAAGATCTAATTAAATCAGTTATTCTTTTCATTTACTTTTGTAAAATATATTTATGAAGTAACTTAAAAAATCCAAAGCTATGTCAATTGTTCATGGAATCCAAAAAAAAGTAAGAAACGAATTTGCCGAATTTTTTAAAGAAATAAAATCCCTTAAAAATTCTTTTAAATTCTTAATTATACCTTTACGGCGAGATGGCAACTGTTGTCATAAGCTATTGCAACATTCAAATGCGTAACTTGAAAAATAAATATGTAGCTAAAATCATCCAAATACCGAATATAGGGAGATATCATGGGGGCTATATCAAAACGTGGACCTGTACAATTTTCTGTCTTAGGCTGTAGCATCCATTACAAACTTTAAATACCAATTTTGAAATAATTCCGATGAATAATGACGATAAAATCATCAAAATACCGAATATCGGGAGGTACCGTTGTATGGAAGCTATACGAAGACGTGAACCTGCACAGACAATTTTCTGTCTTAGGCTGTAGTATCCATTATGAACTTTAAATACCAAATTTGAAACATTTCCGGTGAATAATGTCACTTCAATCACCAAAATACCGAAAATAGGGAGGTGCCGTTATATGGGGCTACACGAAGACGTGGACTTGCACAGGCAATTTTCTGTCTTAGACTGTAGTATCCTTTACGAACATTAAATTCCAAATTTGAATTCCGGTGAATAATGTCCTAAAATCATCAAAATACCGAATATCCGGAGGTTCCGTTATATGGGGCTATACGAAGACGTGGACCTTCACAGACAAATTTCTGTCATAGGCCATACTACGAACTTCAAATACCAAATTTGAAACAATTCCGGTTAATAATGTCGCTAAATTCATCAAAATACCGAAAATAGGGAGGTGCCATAATATGGCGGCTATACCAAAAGTTGACCTACATGGCCCATTTTCCATACCAAAAGTCCTGCATACATAATACACATTTGAGTAAAATTTTATCAACCTACTTCATTTCGATCGGGAGATAGAGTCATTTCAAAAGACGGACGGACATCGCTAAATCAACATAGAATTTTATGGAATGACAAAAATCTAAGAATTGAAACAAGTTGCATTTGGTTGACAAATTTCATTTCTCTTCTATACGATATTAATGACTGAAATATGTTACATCTGTAATGTTTAGATTAACAGGTGTCCCATGATCTATCATATAAAAATGTTAATTTATACCAATTAATAAACAAAAAAAAAAACTAGCACAACACATTGTAAATAAAAAATTATTGTCCATAAACTAATTCCATCCATAGAAAGTGCAAGTTTCACACAACATTATTGCATTTGCTGAGATAAAAACGAAGAAACCACTTTTATTGCTTTGAAATTCTTAAAATAGTCAGTTGGAAATAAAGGAAAAAACATAAATATTTAACAAATAACAATTTTAATTATCAATAGAAAATTTAATAGTCTTATTGAGCGCCAAAGCTAATCATGTATGCTGACCACCGGTTGTCCAACTATGGCTACTGAATGCATTGTCAATTACATGGTACAAGGCATCATACCCAAGCAATTATCTGGTATCTTCTTAATACGGGAACATCTGCTGCGGCAAAACAACAACAATGGCATAATGAAGATGGTGATGACATGATTTTCCATCTTAAATCGAATACAAAGCTGTTGATATGTGGCATACAGGTTAATAGCTGACCACCAAGCTCACAGAAAGAGGTTGTACATAGTCATAGATCAAGCACGCGACATTTAACAATGATCACAAACAAATGCAATTGAAACTCTTGGCAATGAATGAAGATTCAGATGCTGGTGCCAGATATGAGAAACGTACATTAAATTATTTATTCACCTTGTTTATGATTCGCAAAGTATAGGTATTTCAAATATTTGTTGATCCTAATATGTACTTTTCGCAGACTAAAATAATCATCAGGTAATGTTTATGGAACATTTTTCATTAAAACGCAAGCTTTTGGATATGTTTTCTATCTTTGAAAATGGATGAATTTCTATTATATATGTGAATTGGCTGTGAATAGCAGACAATCGCCTAAGATCAGTCCAATTATCAATTCAATTGGCAATAATGTTCGAGATATCGTCCTGGTGTTGTGAGGCTTCTAATTACAAATTCATAGAAAAAGTGGATATTTGTTATTTCTTGCTTTGGCATAAGGACAACCACTTGTTGTTTCTCTATTCTTTTAGGTAAATGCGACATCTACTTTGATATCGAGAATATATGGATAAACATGTAAGGAAAAGTCAAAAGTCGGGCTGGGCCGACTATATGATACCCATACCACTATGCATATTTAGTAGAGCTCCGTAACAAAAGAATTTATTTGAAGTATATTATACCACCTATTCACTTTAGAGCAGTTGTAATTTGGTTTCAGAGGGAACAATTTATGGGGGGCATATCCAATTCTGATTCGATTTTGACGGAGAAAAATGAATCTTTTATATCAAATAACATTGCTACAGAGTGCATGATATTACTTCGAGAAGGATTATATTAAAACCATTAAAGGAAGTCCTAAAGTCGGACGGGGCCGACTTTATGATACCCTACACCACTTTGCTAATTTAGCAGAGCTCCACATAACAATTAAAAAATTTTATGGGAGAATTCAATCATACACGCTATGATTATAATTGTAATTTAAAGTTCAAAGGACTAAATATGCCGAAGCATTTGTATCTTTTAAATTCGGACTTGTATTGCCCATTTGGTGCAAAATAAATTTGAAATCAGATAAAGATATATATGGGACCTATATCCAAAATTTAGCAAAGATATTTCTAAGCTGTATTTCATATATTTCCCTGAATATCGTTGTTACGGAGTGCATATTACGGCTGTGGGTAACAAATATAACAAATCGTATGACCAATATATATGGGAGCTATAGCTATAACTGGACCGATCTTCACCAAATTTGGCATACATGTGCCAAATACCATCCCATTTGGGCAAATATTAGACGTTTGGTGTACAATACAAATAAATCGGACGAAGTTATATATGGGAGCTTTATCCAACACTGAACCGAGCATACTTATTTTCAGGCCTAATTTGGTTGTATGTGCAAAATTCCATACTATTCGGGCTGACATTACGCTTTTGGTGCACAATAAAAGGCAAATCGGACGAAGATATATGTGGGAGCTAAATCTAATTTTTTACCGATTATCTCCCATTTCAATAGGGTTCATCCTTGGGCCAAACAAATGATTTGTGCAAAACTTCATCTGGATCGGGTAATAAATGCGAACTGTACTTTGTTCACAAAAATACATGGACAGACTGACGGACGGACTGACATGCATAAATCAACTCAGAAAATGATTCTATGGAGATCCTCAAAAGTAACTATAGGTCTATCTCGCTTCCTTCTCCATGTTACAAACAAATGTACAAAGACATAATACCCTGACCACTATGTGGTGTAGGGTATAAATATATATCGGAGCCGAGTTCCACAAATTGGAAACGTTCGTCCCGAAATTTACTCCATTTGGGCTGATATTAGCTTTTATATGCACAATAAACCCGAAATCGGATTAAGGAAATATGTATGGGAGATTTATCCAAATCTTAGCCGATCTCGATAAAATTTGCCAAAAGTACTTCCGAGCTCTACATGATATCTGGTACCAAATATCATTGTTGTCGAATATATATTACGAATGTGAGTGACTTAAACACCAAATCGGATGAAACATATATATGGGAGATATAGCTATATCTGAACCGTTTTTCACCAAATTTGATGTACTTCCTTCTAACTGGATTCGGCCGCATGTGCCAAAATTCAGGTCATTTGGACTGATATTGGCTATTTGGTGTACAGTTAACCCAAAATCGGCTGAATATACATCCAAATCTGAACCGATCTTGATAAGATTTGGCAGAGGTATTTCTGTGCTGTATGTGATATCTGGTACCAAATATCATTGTTGTCAAATGCATATTACGCTTGTGCGGGACTTAAACGCCAAATCGGATGAAACGTATATAACACTTATATCTGAACCGATCTTCACCAAATTTGATGTACTTGCTTCTAGGCTGAATTCAGTTGGATGTGCCAAAATTCAGGTCATTTGGGCCATTTGGTGCACAATTAACCCGAAATCGGTAGATGTTATATGGAAGCTATATCTAAATCTGATCCGATTATCACCAATTTCAATTGGGTTCGTCCTTGAGCCAAACAAATATTGTTTGGAAAATTTTATCTCATTCGGATAATAAATGCGACCTGCATTTTGTTCGCAATAATACATGGACAGACGGACGGACGGACTGACATGCATAAATCGACTCAGAAAGTGATTCTATGAAGATCCACAAAAGTCTCCATGTAACAAACAAATGCTCAAAGACATTATACCCTTGTTATAATTGTTAAATAAACTCACAAAGTTATTCTGACTCAAATATAAGATTTTATCTATCACGAGCTCTTGTTTACACCAAACTTGTTTTCATAAAACAAACTATTTCGATTTCTAATTAGTCAAATAAAACGTGTAATTTAGTTTAGTAATTCTGACGAAAAGTGTGACACAAATCATCAAAAAAAAAAAAAACGAATATCTGGATGTACCTACATGGACAGTTCAACGCATAGATGTTTCCTACAAACTGGGGACCCAAACTTCCAATTTACAGAAAATTCGGATTAAAATTGTGACTAAAACAAACAAAAAACCTGAACCTACTTCATTTCGTTCCGAAGCAAGAATGATTTCACACACACGGATTGACAGACAGCGAGCGGACACTACTAAATCGATTTAAAATTTTACGCTGATCAAGAATATATACTTTACGAAATGACAAACTTAATATACCTTCCATTCTATTGTGGAGGGTATAATAATACATTTCTAGCCAGTTTTTTATACGAAAAAATAATTGCATTAAGATTTTTAGTGTACAGTCCAAAGCGTTTAGATCGCTCAGTAAGCAGAATTTATCATTCATATCCACATTATTTTTAATTATTTAAGAAGAAAGGCTAAAGAACACATCTTAGGGAATACCAAAGAAAATTTATACTCACTTCCCTATAATCGTCTGTTTCACTTTAGGGAATGTATAGCCTATTTCCCGATTAATTCGTACTGGCACCAAAGACTAAAAATGTACTCTTATGTGTTTAAATATATAAAATATGTTTTTTAATCAAAATCCTTACATTAATAGATTCGAAGTAAAACAATTAACTCCGATATTTCTTACTTTGTAAATGTTTATTGTTTCTGTTTTGCATGTATAATAATAAATGTTTAAGATTACAATCAAACAATTAATTTTTCAATTTCAATAGAAATCATCATCGATGACATTTTGACGACTTTGTTGATTCTTAATTTGATCTTGTGAATTGTACATATACGCCACCTCACGACCAGTAGTTGCCATTTCAGGTGTTTTATCATCTCGTATTCTTATGAAACGTGGGAATCTAAGAGAAATACCCTTTTCTGGATCCGCAATACCAATTGCCGCTTTATGAATGGGACTTATTGACAGATCAGCGCACTTCACTTCCCATACTTGAACGGGTTCAAACCAATCATCCGGTTCTAAAGAACTGTCACATGCTATGTAAGATTTTTTCGTTGGTACTACATGATTTTTAAAGAATTCAGCATGTGTTTGTAAACTTTCGTCCGAGAAGCCAGTTCCGATTTTGCAAATACTTTGATATTCTTCATTTTCGTCGTCATAGCAGGCGAGTAGGAATCCACCATAACTTCCTGTACGTTTGCCCTTGCCGCGATAACCACCAATGACAACTAAATCCAAGGAATCTCCACAGCCAGCCAAATAATCTTTTTTAAGTTTTAGCCAATTTCTGGAACGTCTAGCAATCTCATATGTGGCATCTTTTTGCAGGGTCTTTACCATCAAACCTTCACAGTTACCCTTAATGGATTCTTCAAGGAATGCCTGAACTTCATCCACATCACTGGTGTCCATTGCATGAGCAAAGTGCCACATTCCCTCTGTTTCATTGAAATTCTCCTTCATTAGTTTTCTGCGATCCGCAAATGGTTTTGTTACCAATGGCTCACCATTCAAGTACAGCAAATCGAAAGCATAAACACAGACCTGTACCTTTATTTCTCCTACATCGACATTCTTACGTTTTCTCGTCGTCAACACCTGGAATGGTAAAATCATTTTCTGTTCCACATCCCAGGCGACAATTTCACTGTCAATGATGTACGACTTGACACCACTTTTCGAAAATTCTCCTATTCTACAAATAATATCTGGATATTTGGTGGTATTATTTTCTTGATTACGTGAAAATATTGAAATTACACCATTTTCATCGCAATGTATTTGAGCTCTCTCACCATCGTATTTGAACTCGCAGGTTATGGTGAGGCCGTCAAAACGTTCCAGAACTTCCGAAACACCTTTAGTTGGTTGTGCCAACATGGGTTTGATAGGCACACCCGGCAACATGGGACAGCGTTCCTCAATCTCGTCGATGCCATGCTCCAATAGTGTGGGTATGATTTTATCATAATTTGGACACTGACAATAAGTGGTCTTTAGGATTAATGTTACCTCATCGATTTCACTTTTTAGTTTTTCTTCTCCCATTTTCTTCATTTTATCCATATACTTGCTTTTGACAATCCCAGTTGCCACAGCATTTATCAAACTCTGTTCAGCAATGCCAATGCGCAGTTTGCCAATAAGCGATCTGATAAAGAATCTTGCTTCTGATCCTCGACAAGCTATAAATATGTCCTTAATGGGTGTCACCTTATTCTTACCCGGTGCATTTGCTATGTCTTTAAGTTTTTTAAAAACTCCCGATATCGTTAATGGGGCTGGTTTGAACATCATACGTTGGGCCATACGAGATTGTTCAGCTACGATGCCCAAATCACCGGTAATATGTGTTTGCGATTTAATGAAATCCATTTTACGTCCGGTTGTATCACAAATGATTTTCATCAATGTCGTTTCGGCAACGCCAAGTTCCAGGCCCTCATAGGCCGGTGCCAATTGGTTAATGGATAAATAAATGCTAGCTAGCAAATCATCTGGATTGGTAACTATAACAGAACTAAAGAAATTTCCCAATATTTCAACCATTTTCAAACGTCCTCGAGTCTCTTCAATCAATTGGAACGTACGAGTTAGGGCTAAATATGGAATTTTTTCACCTTTCCTCCAAGCAGCATCGTTGAGTGGATGGTAATTCGACTTGTCCGGATTATAGTCGGTTGTAATGCTATCCACTTTTTTATCATTCAATTGAAGGCACATTGTTTTTTGTGGTGGCTTTTCGGGAGAAATGTCTGTCTTCTCTTCCTTTTTGACCTCCACTGGGATGGTTTCACTTTTTACATTATTGTTAATCGATTTCTCATTCTCCTTACTTCCAGGGCTAGTTTCAGTCTTAATCTCAGTTTTGATTGCCTTTGCCGCATTGCCAGTTGATGACTCCTGGTCAGATTTTCTCTTTACCGGTGTGTTGCTGGTTTTGTCCTTACTCTCCTTTTCGTTGGCATTTTCTGGTTTGGTTACTACTTTTTTCTTTGTTTCCGTATTGGCTGTTTGGTCTTTTGGCTTGAAAAATGATGTTATATTTCGTTGAGACATTATTCCACTGACCAAACTAAGATTGTTCAACAATCTACGACTTTTGTTTTTATTATTATCAACAAGAAGAAAAAACCGCCAACTCTCTGTCAGTGCCAATTGATGTTTATTTATTTCTCTGTCGCTGCTTTGTGTCTCTGCTTGGCCATTCAGTGTTGTATAATATGGTACTTTCGTAGTAGCTGGTCGTATTGTTGCTGCGTCGGTTTTTAATTTGAAAAACACTCTGCGAATGAGAAAGCGATTCATTGGTGTTTTGCAAAAATATTTACATTCCTCTATGCGCTGTGTTAATTTACGTAGAATTTCATGTATGTTGTTTGCGAATGTACAGAAGGAAAACGAATGAAAGAACGCGCAAAACAGCGCAATTGAAGGGAAACAATTTCTGGTGTTGCCATATCTTTACAATTTCTACAGTATTATGACACTCCATAAGTCAGACAAGAAGAAAAGCAGCATGCCTTTGCAATTATTTTGTATTGCTTTAATAAGAGCAAACAGACAGAATGTGCCTGTGTTCTTCTCTATGAGCGCATAATTATCTGCTCTTCTAAGTGTGTTACCCTGTTTTCTATTTAATGCCAGAAAACAACCACAGGCAGACTCAGAGAAAATTAAAAATACTAGTAGTGTATGGCGAATTGGGTGAATAAAAAATAAAAAAATATTGGGGAAATGTTGAATTATAAATTTAAGACGAACAATTTCGACTTTATGTCTTATCTCCAGAACTGAATACAAAAGGATTAATTTGAAAGCTATAAGAAGAGTTTAAAAGTGAGTTTGATGGGTTTTAAGCAAATATTTGAGTCTCGCCTTAAGATTTAAATATTAATATACTGTAAAAATGTTAACATAGACTAATGAATATATAGACGATGGAACGCAGGATTCCAAAATTGGACCTTGTCCATCGAAAAAGTATTTCTATCTTAAGGTCAACCCATTGGGTTTGATATATCCAAGTATCCATTATCTTCTGTGACCTAAAATAATGTATGTTCCAAATTGTTATGTTGAACAGAAACATTTCAGTTTTCAATTACTAATTTTCGTAAAACGCTTAAATTATGTGTCGGTGTAGAGCAGCCTTAACGCTAAACTATGGTGCTTTAGGCCAAACAAGACTGTATGGAAATAAAAACCCCGTTTCCTGTTGGCTTCGAATCCCGGTTTCCTTTTTAGTAAATTTAATTTGTTTATTAATTTTGACTGTAATCACATCTGTAATAGCTTTGAAACTTTTTGCGCGGATACTATTAAGCAGCTCAGAACACATTGTTAATAGATTCCTATTTGCTTAGATTTATTACATTCAATAATTACCGTACTTGACACGCCAACGTTGAGAGAAAAATAAATTTCCCAACATTGTTTAGTTTTTCTCATGAACGTTTGCAAAAGTTTCTCAAAAGAAAGGCAAGTTTGTACTCTGGTTAATATTACAAATAATTTACTTACTGTTGTTGTTTTCTTTTTGAAAATTAAATATTTATTTTATATATTATTCCTCACGCTATCTACACCTACATATTCAGCTAATTGGGCTGCAATGGGTTGTTCAGTAATATCATTTGGCTCATTGACTCGATCATTCTGAGATAGTTGCCATTCCACAGTTTCCATGGTGGTCTTTCGACATTGTTCAGTTCATTTGATGCTGCACTTTGTAGAGTTATCGGTCTTTTGCAAAAATCTGTGTCACAGGAAATTGTGATATTCTGAACATTTTCGTTCTCAGTATCTCATTTGGAACACAAACATCTTTGCAGATGATTTCTTTTTTTTATTGAATTCAAGTAAAAATTGAGGAAAATTTATTTAATGAGATTATTTCAATTTCATTTGTAACGAATATTATCATTATCTTGGGAATTTTTTTATTTGAGATTACATTTTGTAAGCGATCACCGACAAAAATGTTTACAGATTGTTCTTCACTGAAGGGGTAAATTCAAGCTACTGATTTTTTGCATGGCATTCATTGAAGCTGAGTTGCGATCAATCGGCTTGTATTTGTGCATCTATGAAGAAGACTACTACTCTAGCGGAGAGTTTTTTTTTTTTTTTTGTAAATATGTGTTTGTATGCAAATGTAGTTTATTGTTTTCAAAATGTACCCTATATAGAATTTGCATTGTTCTAGGAAGATTTTCTATGTTGAGAGAGAATTTTGATACAGATGGAAAAACAGTGTTGATAAAATGTTTAATGGCCTAGACAAAATCCTATTGCCTAATTATCGGCAAGTCAAGGACCTGCCCATTATAGGATCATGTTAATATTAAACATCGCTAAATGTTCGTTCCAATTCGAGTCACTCAATTTTTCTATACCGAATAGGAGCATGTAGGCTTTTTCCGTTGCCGAGTACACTTTTAGTTTTGAAATGTATTATGGCAGACTTCGTAAGAAGAACATAAATTATGAGATTCTAAAATTTATCTAATGAGCAACAATAATATATGGTCGCTCTATAAAAATTCAGTGTGAATTCAAAGAGAGAGAGAGAGAGTGAGAGATATAGTATAATCTACGCTTAACATTAGTGTCATTCGAGTCGAAGTTGAAGATCATGTGCAGGGATAGCGTATTAGCTTTTTTGCTATATTATTTTTGGCTCTTCTTTGTATTCTCTCTTGACACATTGGCATTTATATTCTCTTAAGGGTGTATCCCAACACCCACTATATCTATTATATCCGGTGAGTTATCTTCAACTTTATTAACGCTCTATAGAAAATTTCATTTTGAAATGGGACTATTAGTCCAGTTAGATTAGTCATTTTAAATTGACTCGATTTTTAAATGAAACTTTTATACTTGCTTTGTTTGAAATTATATATACAGGGAGAGAGAAAGAACTACAACCAACTTTAGACTGCTGGCATTTCAAAGTCACTCGTCCGACAGCTGTTAAAATTATTCCAGTGACAGCCCATTATATAGTTTACAAGTGTGCATTTTGGTGAGAATTTTCCCAAAAAAAGTTATTCGTGATGGAATTCAAGCGTGATAGTGTAATTTCTTTATATTTGGCTGGGAAATCACAAGTGGCTATCGATAGAGCACTCCAACATTTAAATGTGAATATATCTTTTGTGTCTAGTACCATTGCTCATTACCGTGGTACTGTTAGCGTAGCCCGACGTCAAGGAAGTGGACGCAAGAAACCAGCAACATCAGCCGAAATGGTTCGAAAAGTAAAGAAACGACTTCATCGAAACCCGTGTCGCAGTGGCCGAAAAATGGCTCGTGAGTTGAACATATCGCAATTTCAATTCAATTCCATTCGACATATATTGAAAAATGAGATGGGGGTAAAGCCATTGAAATTCCAAAAAGTGGATGAACTTACACCGCAACAGAAAGAAAATAGACTCAAAAGAGCTAAAGAGTTGCTTCGCTTGGCCGAAAGTGGTGAACTGCGTAATTTGGTTTTTCGATGAGAAAACATTCGTTGTCCAGCAGTTAGCAAACAAATAAAATTATCGTGTTTACTTGCCAAAGAGGTCAGCTGAAAATGTGCACCTTCGCTTCGGCCACCAGAACTCAAGCGCCGGCCATGGTGATGGTGTGGGCCGCCATAACAGCCGATGGTCGCTCTCCGCTCGTATTAATCGACCGTGGCGTCAGAATCAATGCCGAATATTATCGAGAAATTCTGGAGGGTGTATTAAAGCCTTGGGCACGCAAACATTTTGGTCGCAAACCTTGGACATTCCAAGAGGACTCAAAACCATCGAGTGGGGCGTGCTGAGTGCACTCGAGAATGGTTACCAAATTAGGTTCCTCGCTTCATTTCCACAATGATGAAAAAAATCTCCGGATACCAATCCGTTGGGCTATTGTGTCTGGATTATTTTGGAAAGCAAGGTTGGCACTAAAAAATACCAAAGTGTCGATCACCTCAAGCAAGCGCTTCGCCGGGAATGGTCCAGAAGCAGGACAACATTCGGGTAGCATGTGACGGTTTCATTGGCCGTTTGAAGGTCATAATTCCTGCCAAAGCTGACCACTTCGAACAAATCTAAACTTATTTAAAATTTGATGCTATTTCCGACATTTTTGCTTTCATTCAATAAAATTTAAAAAAATGTAAAAATTATGACGTTTGACTTTGTTGCAGTTTTTTTTATCTCACCCTGTATATATTTCATTCGATTTGGTTTTTCAGTCGCTCATATTCATAATATGCACTCCACAAGAATGATAACTGGTAACAGATATCAGATATAGCCCAGAATACCTCTGCCAAATTTTATCAAGATCGGTTCAGATTTGGATATAGCTACCATACATATCCTCAACCGAATTCGGGCTAATTGTGCGCCAAATGACCAATATCAGTTCAAATAACCTGAATTTTGGTACATCCGACCGAACTCAGTCTAGAAGCAAGTACATTAGTTTTGGAGAAAATCGGTTCAGATATAGCTTTAGCTCCCATATATATGTTTCATCCGATTTGGGTTTTAAGTCCCTGACATTCGTAATATGCATTCGACAACAATGATATTTGGTAACAGATATCTTATAGAGCTCGGAAATATACCTTTGCCAAATTTAATCGAGATCTTTAATCCGATTTCAGGTTTATTGTGCAAATAATGGCTAATATCAGCCCAAATGGAGCGAATTTCGGGACGTACGTTTCCATTTGGTGGAACTCGGTTCCGATATACATGTTTTTGATATAATCCTTTCCGAAGTGATATCATGCACTCTATAGCTATGTTATTTGGTATAAAAGATAAAAATAACCCCGTCAAATTTTGTGAAAATCAGTTCAGAATTGGATATGTCTCCCATTCCCTCTGAAACCAAATGATGCTGCTCTAAAGCCAAAAGTTGATAGGTGATATGATTTACAACAAATAAATACTTTTGTTACGGGAGCTCTACTAAATATGCGTAGTGGTGTAGGGCATCATATAGTCCGACTTTTGACTTTTCCTTACTGGTTTTCATTTTACATTTCCTATTGTTTCAATGGATGTTCTTCGAATTCCAAAAAAAAAAAAATGAAGAACAAAAAGAGAGAATGACAACAAAAAAGAAATAATTGCATTAATTATTGAGATTTTTTTTGTTTATTCAAGTAGATTATTGAATATTATATACTCTGGACGTTATATGCATATGTGTATGGGTGTATATGGGAATGGCATCATTAAACCATCATTGTGTGAGTTCAACTTCTGTCTACTCTTGGGTGTTCCATGATCCGATTTGTTTATGTTTTCAATTTGTTTTTTTTTTGTTAAATTGTTTATTTAATAGTCTTTCAGAGATAATTTCAATGTTTATGTCGTTGCGATTCTTTTGCGGGAGAGATAGCGGCAAAACGGATGAGTTGTCTTAGGTTTTGCCCTGTGAGGGGCACGAAATATAGAAAATATTTGCATAATAAGCAAAATGATATTGAATTTATTTTAGCAATAGGAAGTTGCAGGAAATGTGCAGATTTCCGTTTAAATTGAAAATGAAAATGCAAGAATTTTGTAAATTAAGCGAAGTAAATGACATTCAGAATAGAGAGATGGAAGTGGAAGCTGGGAGAATGGTTTTGACTAAACAGTTGGCAGTCAAGTAATAACAGCATCATGGCCCTGCCAAACCAGCTGACTACCAAATGTAATGTCAAAATGCAAGATG